TAAAAGGTACACTTGCTGAATAATGTCCATTTCACCCAGTTATCCGTATATTGAACCTTTATTCGAGTTCGATATCATCGAGGATTGTCATGGCGTTTGACATTATACCCATAAGAAGCTCCACTTAGGTCCAAAAGACTACAAAAAATAAAATTTGAAATTCTTAAATATATCAACTGAAATATTACGCAAGTCTATGGAAACAAAACATATACCACAGAATTAAATTCATTGTCCATTAGTTTGAGTGACTCAAAGCCCGATTTAAGAAACGCTTTTCATTTTGAAGTATTTTTGCACAACAGAAATTATTAGTACGAGAAAACAGAGTGAGCTGAAATTTTGCAGCCCAGACCTACATCCGATGGCATACAAATCGACATAAATAATAACTAGTCATGGCATGTCAATCAACCTAAGTGGAGTCCCTTTTCATAAAAAAAACAAGAGCGATCAGTAATCACATGTGTCGCCTCATGATGGCCAATTTCATGTTGGGACAAATTTTGTGACAGACGGACAGACAGACGGACAGTGCACAACTAGACTTGGTACTGATCATTCCTGTAAAGTTTGGATAAAATTGCACCAAGTAGTTTTTATGAGGGAGTAGTCCGGACAAGCTTTTGCGTATCTGGCAACACACAGAAAAAAAATACCTTTTTATCAAAGGGCCATAACTCGGCCAAAAATCATTTCAACTGGAAAAAACCGCTGCAATATTTGCGCAAGGACTTGAGCTACAGATCAAATCCTGTAAAGTTTCATTGAAATTACATGAGTGGTATAAGAGAAGTAGTCCGGACAAACTTTAAAAATAAAAATTATTAAAGGGCCATAACTCAAACAAAAATCATTGAACCGGAAAATCCGTGCAATATGCGCAAGGACTTGAGCTACAGATCAATCCTGTAAAGTTTCATTGAAATTACATGAGTGGTATAAGAGAAGTAGTCCGGACAAACTTTAAAAATAAAAATTATTAAAGGGCCATAACTCAAACAAAAATCATTGAAACCGGAAAATGCTGACAATATGCCACAACTAGACTTGGTACTGATGATTCCTGTAAAGTTTGGATAAAATTACACCAGTAGTTTTATGAGGAGTAGTCCGGACAAAGCTTTTGTGTATCTGGCAACACACAGAAAAAGAAACTTTTTTATCAAAGGGCCATAACTCGGCCAAAAAATCATTCAACCGGAAAATCCGTGCAATATGCGCAAGGACTTGAGCTACAGATCAATCCTGTAAAGTTTCATTGAAATTACATGAGTGTATAAGAGAAGTAGTCCGGGACAAACTTTAAAATTAAAAATTTTAAAGGGCCATAACTCTGACAAAAAATCATTGAACCGGAAAATGCTGACAATATGCACAACTAGACTTGATTACTGATCATTCCTGTAAAGTTTGGATGAAATTGCACCAGTAGTTAATGAGGAGTAGTCCGGACAAGTTTTGTGACGGACGGACGGACGGACAGACAGACAGACAGACAGACGGACAGACAGACGACGGAGAAGTGATCCCTATATGTCGCCACTACTCCGTAGAGGCGACACAAAAAAAGAGTATAAAAGGTAAATTCAGATGTCTAGAATAAACAACCCTGTTTAAACTTTGTGTGGATAGGTACACCATTTGGATAGTTTTTTTTTTTTCTTTTTCAACATATAGCAGACATTTACTGAATTTACTAATGACTCCATCAAGTTACAAAATCAGAATTTCAGCGAGTTTATTATTATATTATAACGAGTGGATGGTATCGAGTGTTTAAGTGCATGCTGTTGTTTTTTTTAATTAACAGATTTTATGGTTTATTTTGTACTCGGAAATGTATACTTTTGTGGTATTATAGTTAATTTTCGTTAATTAATGAGAAGTTTTGTAACAGAAGTTTTGTAACAATCAAAATGTATTCATATTATGTTTGCATGTTTACTTTAGAAGAATTATTTCATTATTGTCTTTTATAGTACTGTTCATATTGTTTCCATTATTGTAAAGTTTTAATTATCTTCGGCGTACTAAAAGAAGTTTATGCTAGGTTTTATACGAAATTTATGTTTTCACATAAAGATACCAATTGGCAACAAAAAAATCTAACCATATAAGAAACTTGGATGATGTTTTTAAAAACATATTTTCCCCGATCCCCAAAAAATTTTACTTTTTATTAAAAACTTTAAAAAAATTTTTTTAACATTTTAAATCACCAGTTTTTTATAAAACACTTTTTTTTAGGCCCTAAGATTCATGAAATTTTTAAATAATTGAAAAGAGATTTTAAATTTTTTCCCCCGGGAAACCCTTTAATCAAATATTTTTTTTTCTTTTTTATCAAAAATAATAATTTAAAAACTTTTTGGACAAACATTTTTAAAATTTACCCCCTAAAACAAGTTTTCCATATTAAACCCTTTTTCCCTCGGGAAAACTAGGCAGTCTACCTGGCTTTAAATTGAAACGTTTATCACCCCTTTTCCAAAGTCGAAATAAAAATTTCTGTGATTTCAATAAAGGAAGAAATTCAGCAGGCTAAATGTTAAGATGAAATATTACTTAACATGTTGTAGTTTTTTTTCTTAACTTTTGTATGTGTGGGTGTGAGTCACAAATAAATGTATCCAGAGATTTTTGTGTTTCTTTTTAATCATGTGTTTAAAAACATCAGCCATTCGGGTACATTGAATCATGCGAGTACTGTCAAAGTATTACTGTAAGGTACATATACTTGGAATAATCATTTACTGTTAGAAGAAAACCTAAGGGTCTGTGTCCATGCAGGAGAACCACCGAGCTTCCATAACTAAGTCTACAGATTTTTCATACTGATGAAAACACCCAAACACTGTAGTGAAGGGTAATTGCTCGGACCGCTAGAACTTTGTGAATGATATCGCTCCTTCTAAGTGAAATGCACCTGCTACATCAGTATAAATACAGTATTTCATTAAATAAAGTTATCAACAATATTGAAAACAACTATTACAGGTTTCCATGCACCTCCATATTTCTCTCAAATAGTGCATTGCAGACAATAAAGCATGTAAGGTTCTTAAGACCAAGATAAAGAAAGTGTAAAACGAGTGGTGAAAAAACATAGTTCTGCTCCATATATTGCTACTCTTTAATTTAAAAAGCAACTCTTTATTGGTCTTATTTGAGCTTTTCCATGCTTAAATAAAATAACTGACCAAAAGGAGCAATAGATGTTCAAACTATATAATCATAGTTCGTATAATGCTGACAGTATTAAAAACTTTCTAAAGTGACAATATGACCATCCAAGTGAAAATGTTTAGTGCAAAGGTAAAAGTAAAATAATTTTTGTCAGAATTGTGTTCAATTTTATATTTTACTACGCAAAAATAATCAACCACATACAAATGTAAGTCTATAAAATTAATATCCTTTGGAATATGTCTGTAACAATTTTACAAAGAATGGGGCAGTCTTTCTATAATTTAGGTAGTTTTAATATTTTAACCGATCCATTTTTCATTATCAATTAATGGTCAATTACTATCATCAATATAATAGTAAAGTCTCTTAAATTACGTTTCTAATAATATAAAACCGGTATACTATTTCTAATAATAATAGTAAAATCTCTTAAATTACGTTTCTAATAATATAATATACTATTTCTAATAATAATAGTAAAATCTCTTAAATAACGTTACTAATTCAGCTCAATCAGACAGCGAAAAAAAAGAATAATGTCATTTTAACTTTGAAAGGCAGAAATGATTATGATTATCATGTTAATAAAGACACTTGCCATACATACTAACCACAATAATAACAGGAATATTTGAACATCCGTACCCACTTTACTTCTACAAACCCATATAATTTTGGACAAGAAAAACAAAACTACTTTTATGAAGAAACAACATCTTTATCATGATCAATATTTCACAAAGTTAGAGAAAACTACAAAACATATAGACAACAGAAATATCCATTAACATTCAATAACTAAAATGAAATGTCTAATCTGCACAAATCTCACATATTGTTTTTACTTATGAGTCTGTAGTCTTAGATTTCTAATAATTGTCATACAAGATGACTCCAATATCCCTCTAGGAATTATTTCAAGCATCTTTCCCAGAACTGTGTCAACCAATACATTCCTCAGCAAGTCTACTAAAATAAACTTATTGAATTTACTGGATGATTGCAAACAAGAACATGTCTTAGCTTGTGAACAAGTACGATTTCAATATATTATCTTCAAAGAACAAAATGACTCCCCTTTCTAACAACAGAACCAAAGTTTAACAAACTGCCTAATGCAGACTTAAAGTGACATTATGCTCATCCAAAGGTATATTATAATGAGGGAAGAGGTGAAAGTTCAAATAAGTTAACAGTTTGCCAAAATTCCTTTCAATCCTATAACTGATGTAATAAATAACTCACATGGCCCAAGGAACTTCAAATAAATTTCAATATTGTTCAATTTATACAAAGGATGAGGCAGTCTTTTCATATAATATTATAGACAGATTTATATTCTATCATAAACATATTCCAATATCAACTGTGTCAATCACTATTATAACAGAAAATCTTTAACATTTATGTAGTAAATTTAGCTCAGTTTGACAATAAAAATATGAGCATAATGTCACTTTAACTTTGTCCAAATATTTGGAAAAATTCTTTAAAATGTTCATGACATTATCAACACTGTAAGGGAACATCAAAGCAAAATTTTTGTTCAATATACATCAACACAGTATTCTAATGACAAAATGATAATATAACTGAATGACCAAAATGACATATAATTTCAGTTTCTGTGGCACAATGGTTTAACTGTTAAAGAATTAAATTTAAACAAAATTAAACACAAAGGTACACACATTTTCTCCAAATAATGTTTCTTTTTCAATGCAAGTATTTACAGCAACTATGTAACTCAACCATAGGTACTATGTCCCTCTTAATTGAAATATTTTTTACTCAAGTACAGGTATTACTCAAGTTCAAGTACACTGTCCCTCTTAATTGAAATATTTTTCAATCATTTTGTAAAGGTACATCTTCGTGAACTGGAAGAATGTATTGAAATCCCTCGAGCCTTCCTTGCAGTCCATTTCTACCCTCACACTTGTTGCGTTGCCATCAATCACGGACTGCATGTAGCAGTAAAAGCCAACCACTGGATGGGCCAACGGTGCACGATCATTCTGCCAGATGGCGTTAGAAATCAACTTCTCCATGGGGATATTTTCCTCTGTCCTGCCCTCCTCATTAACAAGGTAGTTTTTTGCCTAAACAAACAGTCAACAGTTTTCATTAAAGTTTAATGTCTTTTTAAACTTTTAAACAAAAATACATGGCAAATTACTTTTAAAGCTGCATGCCTCCAGATAAGCCAAAATATTTCAAGAAAATAAAATTTGAGAAAAAATGTGTTGAGGTTTTATGAAAAGTAAAAATACTAAAGATAAAAGTTATAATTTCCATGTTATTTGCGATTGATGGCCAATTTTTCAGTAATTTCATCATATTTCTACTGTTTTACTAACGCAGTAAGGGTTAATTTTGCATATTTTGTCCTCTTTTTTGTAATTTACACTGGCTTTTGAAATGTGCATATTATTTTCTCTGTCAGCTTAATAATATTTTACTTTTGAATACATTTTCAAAATTTTCATAAACATTAGCAGGAATATGAAGGTGTGCTGCTTTAAAAATAGATGTCATCACTAGTCTGGTACACCAATTTCTTTAGCATTTAAGTGACAAATTTCTTTGTACATTACAGTAATTTACAAAAATAATAAGTTCACATGGCAATTAAACCAAACTATATGAAGAACCAGAGATGAAGTTATACCTGAACTGGTGCTGTATGCAAACATATTTTTAAGTAAAAGTAGAACCATTACATTTAACAAAATAAGCTGCGAAAAGAATCTTATAACTATTCGTATAGTGCTTTAAAATCTTTGAAAGTTCAGCTAGTTAGGATTAATAAATGTTCAACTCCAGATCAACTTTTATATTAAACAGTATAACCAGACTTAATAATGTTAGCTGCTAAATTTTAGCTTTTTACATTGAAAACCCCTAAAAACATACAACTGACAGTTCCAGATACAAAGTGGGACAAGTCCATTAGAAACATTTAAGAGGGTACTAAGACATTCTGCAGATTTAAACAAACCTTCTTCCTCCTTGCCCAGGTCATACACCAAGCCCTCATGTAATGCTGGTAGTCCACCTCCGCATCGCAATCTCGCTTGTACCGGAGTTCCGGCTCGTCCGGCTTGTACTCGATTATCTCCTCTCCGTCGTCCGAATCTTCAATCATGTCGTCAAGGTTCAGTTCAAACTTTCTATTGCCTCTAAACTTCTTTGGTGGTTCTATCTTGATGTCAAATATGCTGATTGGCCTAGAGTAATGTAATAATTCATAGTGTCAATAATAAATAATTCAACAAACTAAAGTTGGTCAATAGAAATTTTATGGCAAATTAAAGATAATTCATTAATTCACTTACATGATTTCCAAGTGAGATAAAAAATTAAATACAATGTATAAATTTCTGATTGTGATTAAAAAACACACCATGTGACTTGCATGTTGCCCCTGTGTATAATCAAAATTTTTAATAGTTTGACTACATTTTCAGGTTTTTTTTATCCATTATCTTTATATTTTTCATTTTTTTAATTGTATTTTAGTTAAACAATGCAAGTTATTTGGCTTCATTTGACCAACAAGACATCAATCTTATCTTTGCATTGATTTAGGCTTGAACAGACACAGTGTAAAACCACTATCGCCTGAAGTCAGCTGGAAAACTTCCTCTTATGAAAGACAGAATATACAAAACAATTGGTTTTATGTTTAAATAGCATATTTTATTAACATCAAAATACACAAACATTAATATGCAATCTCTTTTGCATAAAAATCCTTCTTTCTAACAGAAAATACCATCTTATGTATGAATACTTTACATTTTGAACAAATATAAATAGTTCTTGAGGCACATTCAGTAACCCTTAAGCATGCTGGCAGCATACTACCTATGTGACTGTAATGTCAGATCATGGTTTACACGGTAGCAATACAGCGAGTACCTACTTTAAAATCTACCATAAAAACAATGAATGGTTTTGCCCAGATTGAAAAAGGGCAAGCCCATTTAAGATATTTAAAGAATTAGGTGTGTGCCAAAATTATATAAGAACTGACCTTGGCCTTTTCTCACTGCTTTTGTCAGTTGACTCGGATGTTCCAGCCTCAGTTTCAGACCCTTCTTTACCCTTGGCCTCAGCTTCAGCCTCTGTCGCAGCCTCTTCTGCTTTCTTTTTTAACTCTTCTTCCTCTCTCTTTAGTTTCTCTTCAAGTTCTTTCCTTTTCTCCATCCTACGTAGTCTACGCCGCTCACTGATAATATATTTAATTCCTGTTACTTTTGTTTGATTGTTACTTTCTACAACAACATTGTTAAATCTCTGACTGCAAACAAGATCTTCGATATCTGCCTATGTGACCAGTACAGATTCAGATGAGCTTACATACAAGACGTATTACAACTGAAGGCATGCATGAAGTGCTTTGATATTGAAATTTATTTTCTCAAGAAGTAGCATTCCGAAATTCAAATCAAAGGAAGTCATAGACAAAAGTTCAGCAAGACATATATTAATTATTTTTCTGAAGACAGTTTGCAATTTTGATTCCTCTTCATTAAATCAAGAGGCATTATACACTATTCTACAATCTAATAGATGTGTGTTCTGCATGTAAGATCAAAACATTTTAGCCGCATCACGACAAAACCAACGTAATCGGTTTGCGACCAGCATGGATCCAGACCAGCCTGCGCATCCGCACAGTCTGATCAGGATCCATACTGTTTGTGATCAGTTTCTTTACTTGCAATATTTCACATGAATCGTAACAGATTTACTTTAGTAAATCGCCAAACTGTTAATCAGTCTAGTATATTGACTTTTTATAAAAATAATTTAAAACACTAAGCTGGTTAAAATTTATTAGTATGTTTTTACAAAATTAAATTGGTCGTGCAGCTGTGCTATTCTGATCAATATAATTTTGTAAATACATACTAATAAACTTTAACCTATACTAAAATTGCATGCAAAATAAATATAAAGTGTTTACAGGATTTCTTTATTTCGTTTGTCCGCAAATTCTTTCTTTGCCATCTCTTCTTTCATCCTCTGACGAATTTCTTCCGTCGCCTCGGGCAGATCCTCGATTGTCAACATTAACACCTGTAAAAGTAACATCATTGTTCCATTTTACATTTTGAAACTTACGAAAAAGACTTAGAAAATTGTGTATATTAGTTACTTTAGTTTATACAAATTTATTTTATTTTGTGTTGGAAGCTATAAGCTTATTGAAACACTCTCAAATCTGTGAACAGCCATGGCAACAATAAATTGGTGAAAAAAACTTACACTTGCTATGATTAAGTATATTGGATATTAATCAGAAATTGTGAAAAACGAAAATCTTTCACACTCCCTAGCACCACCTTAAGGATTACACACCATAATAGATTCTCTAAATTAAGAATCATTTGGTTTGCTTCTGACTTTTTCCTTACTATATAGTAAGCCTGTAGTCCACGGGTAACATGTTTGTTAAGAATATGAGAAGTTTGGGTCATTAACATATACAACATTACTGTTAACCCATGACAAAAATAGAGATAAATGTTTATCATCTACTCACTGTAGAATCAACTATTACAAAGAAGTTACATCTAAAGTATACCTTACAATTAACATATAAATACACTGGATTTTTCATCTAGATTTAAACTCTAAAACTTTTGGTAAGTGTGGGGGGGCCTTATTCTGCATACGTTTAACAAATATTTATAAAATGATACTTGTAATTACCTCTTTGATGATTCTAAGGATGAAGTCACACATCTTTTTACACCACTCTACTCTGTAATTTTCCCCTTTCTGTAACTGCTTCAACAACTTGCTGGACATCTGAGTAGGTTTCAGCTCAACCTAAAATAGTATCCCCCTTTTAGACATATTGCAAATACTTAATGTGGCAGTGTTGATAGTTTACACGCCGAATCACGCCTGTAAGCCGTATTAAATTTACCAGAGCACAGTTCAGCCACTGCTTCGTTCCTGGATTAAGGTGTGATGTTTACCAGTATTAACTGCCTTCACTATAGACTAAATGTGTTTCAATGTCAAATTTTTATAAAAACCTCATATAAATTTTGTACCCTTTATTTCTTTGCATTATTTCAGGCACAAGCAGGCACCTGAGTAGCACCACGAACATTCTGTAAGCTAGGTGGATAGCTTCTTCACATGAAAGAATCAAACGTCCCTGGCAGGATTTGAACCACAGCGATGAGGGGCAAGAGGTCAGTGACCTTAACCGCTGGGCCACAGACTGCGCATGTGGTGTGATCGATATATAACCTTGATCCTTGTAGCAATTGCTAACCATGTTATCATTAATATAGTAAAAACTTATACATATACACACTGATCATATTAAGAACTAACCTCAAACTCGTACTCTCCAGCTTCACGTGCAGGCATACGACCTTTCTCTAAAATAGTTTCTTGTTTCTCCTGGTCTTCTTGTAGAATTATGTCTGGTACTTCATTATTCAACAAGTGGATCAAATCTCCTCCCTGTACATATATATATACAGTCAAATAGTAGACTAGATGTGTAATGGTTCATCAATACATTGTGGCATTGCAATATACTTTGCTCATATTTGCAACAAATAAAATACAAGATTTGCAATAACTTGTATTGCAATATATTTATAATAGACTTTCAAACATTCCCCAAGATGGCTTTTCATATATTTCCACAGAATAACACTATCTTTATCCGATTGCGCATTTATTATTTAAAAAATTTCTGTATATGAAATTGTTTGAAATACATGTAATATGATAGGAGTATATCAGAATACTAGTATTCAGATTATATCGAAAGTACCGAACCAATAAAGTTTCTGTCCCCTTGTATCATACCATTTGGGTGTAATAATAATTTTCAAAGAGTATTTCATAAATAATTTTCTTACACAAAGCAAATAATCAACAATTATTTCATGTTCAGTGGTTACTGAAGACACATTCACTGAAATCATGTCTCAAAAATACAATTAAACTATATCCAAGAACACCAGCATATCCACTATATTTAAATACTGATTTTTCCAAGTTGTATACAGTTGACTGAACTACTTACCCCAGAGGGTGTGGTCATAGAGAAGCCCTCATTGCCCCACACTGATGTCTTTATGGCGGCAATTCTCAACTCTCGTACAATCTTATCTCTCATCTTCTCGTTCACATTCTGGGTGATGTTATGATTTAAAACAAATGGATCTTGCATGTTCATAGCGGATGCCTGTAGTATAACAACAAAACAGTATTGACCCTCTGAATGTTATGATACCAGTATAACACTGTTCATATTTTGAAATTGAAAACCCCACAAATATACAGAAAGTTTATGGGCAGGTTCAAAGCAGGTTTAACCTATTATACATAAAGCATGGCAAAGGCTGAAATATAATTTTTGATATAGAGGTAAATTTACTCCAAACTGTAAGAGGACAACCAAATTTACATTATACCATAACAATGTTTGTTGTTAAAATGGAATTTTAGTCTTAAACTCATTTCATTTTTAAAACACCTCATTGGTTCAAAAAGAACCTCAGCTATCCTGGTATTATTTCAGGCATACACATGTGCCCAGGTAGAACCACCAACCTTCCCTAAACTAGCGAAGTAGTCTATTCACATAAAAAAAACATCCAAAGTTCCCTGGCAGGAATTCAAACCCACAGAAGAGATAGTCAAGAGATTATCAAGGTCAACCACTCAACCAGTACAGCACCAGAGATTTATTACAAAACTTGTTTGTATAATATGCACCTACCTTAAAGCTCCTAATTCTTCCATCCTGCATATTATCTTTCTCAAAGAACATTGTGAATGGAAGCTCTGAGGCCGATCTTGTTACCAGAACGTTGTCTTCAAAGTTGAATGCGCTCCAATACGAGAAAAATCCTGACAGAAGCTCGGCTGAAAAATGTCAAATTATTTACACTCTGAGCACTAGCTACCAAAATAACAGGCATATGCATAAGTATAGTATCCAAACAGGTGTAAAATGAACTATGTGTAACATTTACATAACCAACAACAACAAAAATATTGAAGATTCTTTTTATTCTAAGTAAAAACAGATGGGTATCAAACAACATTTATTTTTTCAAATTCTGACATTAGAAAGACAGCAACAAACTCTTTGTCATACAGCAAACTTCCTCCATAATATTTACCTGACAACGTGGTTTAGAAATCATATCCTCTTGTAACTTTCTTTGGGTGGTTAGGTTTTAAATTGTATCAACACAGTATAGGTCATATAGCGACTTTCCAGCTTTACTGGTGGAAGAAGACCTCAGGTGCTCTTACATGCATTATTTCTGGCACAAGCAACCACAATCAAACAACCTCAACAACTCGGCCACGAATGCCTCTATATCCTCTTGCAAACAAAAATAATTTCACATCTCTAGTGTATAAACATTATTTGTATTGACACTTCCCCTTACTCACACAAATATATAAGCTCAACCATTCAGATATGTATTGTGTAGCAGGTACCGTAAATATTATGAAAAAAAATACGAAAAAGTTACCTGCAGATTGGGCATTGTTAGACTGTGGAATGATCTGCCAGTCCATGGCAAATGTACAGTCCCATCCTTCTATCTTTGTACGTGCTGAAGTTCCTACATTAATTTATAAACATATTTTTAATCATATACCTGCACTTCTTATTTTCAATTTAAATTCTTACCATTTAAACTACTTCTTTTAGTTCATATCTTTTTTCTAATAAGCTGATCTGATGGAGGAAGACTCTAATTTTTTTATATTGGGTTTTATGTCACACAAACACAGTAAAACCACAGATGTTCCTTTAAACTAGCTGGATAGCTTTCTCATATAAAAGAATCTAAAGGTGGTTGCCCGGCCCAACACCTACAGCAGTGACAGGCAAGTCGTTTGAAGCGGACGACCATAACCACTTGGCCCCTGAGTTATTTCAGGCCTAAGTATTAAATTTTGTACCAACTTTAATAGAACAACTGACCTTCTGTTTCCTAGCTGGATAGCTTCTTCAATACATGATTAAATACAAACGTACAAAGTTCATTGTATAATTTTAAACTACAGCAGTGAGCTACCCATTATTGAACTACCTGAAACACTGAACCACAGCCAATATTCTATTTATTCATAAATTATTCATGGGAAATACACTATGAAAAACATTAACATACCATGAAGTTGTGACAGTTTCTCAATGGTTGGTAGGACTGGGGGATCCAAGTTCTGCAGGTAGTTTAATACCATCAAGGTGAGAGCGTAGTTGGACAACTTTGTACTAGCCTTCTGATTACCAGCCAGTCCCTTAACCTATATAAACACATAGCCGGTCACATAATTCGTAAAGACAATGTTATCTCGTACAAATAATTTATTAAAACAAAGGAAAGTACTTGTATGCGATGAATCAATATTGACACAATCTTAACGGAAATTGAACTATTTTTGAAAATTTTAACAAAATCAAGACTTTTAAAACAATAGGTTTACAATATGGAGATATTTCACTATAACTCTATGCTTATATGGTTAAAAGAAGTTTTTACAATGAATGGCATACTGTGAAAGGCATATGTCATATATCACATTGAAATATTATACATAAGATCACATTTTATGCATGCAACAGTACCAATGTTTTTCTCACTAAATTAGGAAGAGGCCTTAGCCCCATGACTTTGGGAAGAATTATCGCTAAATTTGCTAATATTGGATGTAGAAAAGCTAATGTAAGTAAAGATTTTTGGTAAAACTTCATGATTTTAAAGTAAAATTTTCCCTAAAAATGATGAATGATTTTGTCCAGATTGCAAGATGGACAATTCCACTGTAGACGTTTAGCGTGGTATTATAACAGTTAGGAAAGTCAGGATGCTTTATTTTTTCTCTAAAACATACAAAAATATTTTTCCCTAAAACAGACAAAAATCTTAAAAACTGCCTTTAACTTACTAAATGAAGATTTTATAATAATGATTCTTGTTGATGAAATATAAACTTTTGTTGATGAAACAAGCTAAATAAAGGTACGTTTTTTTGTTTTATTCTTACCTTTCCCCAGTACCGTATAGCATACACAAGTAGTCTAACTCTACTATTAAGTACACTAAACAGGTATAGTAACTTTGTATTCTGAAGGGCCAATCTGTTTGAAGAGAGAAGACATCATACATTGTTAACAAATATACAATACAGGGCAACATAGGCATACAGCAAGGAGATCCTTTATGTCCCTACTTCTTTTCTTAATCATGTCTAAATGATATACAACAGAATATCCGGTTTCAATCTAAAAACTGTTTAATTAGTACAATGATTAAAACAAAAGTCAGGTCCATTTTATACCTTAATGTGGAACATTAAGGAAGGTATGTTTTAAAGTATGCCATAGCTGCCTGTACGAAAGGAGCTGCTCAGAAGTTGAGGCCCCACACCTCTGCACCACAAATATAACACTTCAAATACAACTGAGCGCTTCATCAAGAGAATTATTTTAAATTAAACATGTCAGAATTAGTTTGCAATATCATTCCTTCCTTCTAAACATCTACAGTCCAGTTTTCAGATGAGCCAAGACAAATACATTTAATTCCATACGCCAAGAAACAGGTTTTAAATGAAAAATAATGGTTGTGTTCAAAATGACGTGACCTACACAATTTTGATCATGTCATGTAAAGGTACATTTAAACAAAATATTAAAGTATTTTAAAATCATTTCATTATTTCATCATAGTGTAAAATTAACTTTATAAAACTACTATATACATTTATCTGTAAGAAAATTTAATCAGAAATGGGGCAAAGGTTGAAGGTCTAACAATAGACAAAGCGCCCAGGTACTAAGTGTGTAATATATGAAATTTTCTGACTTATACCTAATAATTCAGAATTCAAATCACAAGCATTAAATTGGTATAAGCCATTAAATTTCAATATTGATTTTAATTTTGCAATATCCAAATATAAACTTTATAAAGACCAGTAAAGACATGGGCATTTTTTATGTGGTGCATCAGTGAATAAATAAGATGGTGACTAGTGCATTCTCCAGTTTTCATGGATAGGTCACATAGTCATATAAATACAAAAATACTGAAATATTGTCATGTTAAGTACAAAGTCTAACTTGTTACATAAATGCCATCTTGTATAAATTACACCCTCTTCTTGTGATAATGGAAATTCAAAGATTGCTATGTCATTTAGCATCCTATGTTATTATAGTTAACATATTACAAACACTTACATAATAATGTTTAAATAAGTAAAAACTGGTAAACAATCTAACACTAAATTGAATATTTTCCAGTGGAATTTAATCAGGCTACCAAAAATTTGATTCTCCCCCTTTGTAACATTATCTTCCATTGAACAACAATATTTGTATATATTTGTTTGATTATCCCCCTTTGTCAACAGTTTAGTGCCAGGCCTGCCTGCACATCTGTACATTCTGACCAGGCTCTACACTAATGTCTTACTTACTTCAAACTTTCATCTTAATATCCCCAAAATTGATAATAGAGTGTCCAAAAATAAAGACTTGGTCCGAGGTTATAAAGAAATTCTCTCAGCTCAAACTCAAATCTCAGGTATTTGATTGGTCAGAAACTGCCACAAGGATGTACACTGACCAATGAAGACCCTGAGATTTGAGACAGAGCCTGGGAAATAAATTTTATAATCTCGGGGCTTGGGCAAGTCCATTTAATAAATTCAACTACATAAAGAGTTCAGACTTGCGTCCAAGTATCTAAGGTCAGCTGACACCACACTTTAACCAAGGGGTTTCCAGGACTATTGAACACATGTCTCACTTACTTGTTATTTACTGACAGATCACACTTGACGTCACAGTTAGTGTATTTAAAGCGGACAAGGGGACACCTGCTGCTGGGGATGACCTGTACGTCGAGTATTCCCTCCAGATGGTCCATCAATATACGCGAGATCAATTTACACTGATCTGTCATTCCCATCTTATCAAGATCAGACGGTACAAGGGGACCCCATTCCTTGTCCTTCAGAAACCTGAAGTCTCTCACAAATGGCAACTTTATTGGCTGTAAATTAAAGATAAAGATATTAATTACACAGAGTATTTTAATATCAAATGCATGACAATACAATATATAGCTAATACAATATATAGCTGACAAGTATTTTAAGACCCAATATGCCTTAGAAATGCTTCTATTTTTATATTTCATTTTATTATTTTATATGTTCCAAAAAGTTACTCATTGGCCAAATACCAAAACCATCTTTTTCTTTTCTAGCTTTTCAGCAATAAGTACAGTGAGTTTTTTTGTATGGAAGTGAAAATACTACTTGGTTTACATTTTGTTTCTTTTATAACAAATAATTTCACTTTTAACTTTTTTTAGGTGATCAGTATGTTCGAGATGACCTAAAATGCATTGAAGACAGTCTTTTTGGCCTACAGCTGCCTCTAAATGACAAGATTAAAATCATCAAAAGCTTTTAAATGTTTGCATGCTTTTGAAGGCTTATTTAGGGCAAACTATAGATACCTCTTGTTCCCAAGTCTTGCTATGCATCGTACTAAGATCAAGGAAAATGTCCATGTCACATCCACTCAATCCAAAACCATTCACAGACGATCCAAACTGGTTCACCGTGCAGCCTATATTCAATAAATTATCAAAATCTGCATTACTTATTATTTCTTGGTTGATTATTGAACACCACATTGATTTTATCATTTAGCTTTACAGTGTTTTCATTTTTATCTGAGGCAACAGAGGTGCAAACAAAACAACCCATTTGGCCAAGGGTCATGAAGGATATTTTAATCTACAGACTGAAAATGAAACAAATTTTAACAGCATTTGAACTAATGATATGCTTCGTCAATCTGTTAATAATTAAAATCCTGGCAATATGCACAGAAGATGAAGAGTCCATCTCAATATATGTATCAAATTAGTATAACAATAACCTGAATGAGATATTGCAACTGTGTTAAGCATAAAGGTATTGACCAGACTGTTCAAAATTGAAAATATAACTTTTTTTTACATGCGTAGAGCCACCAATGTTCTGTAAGCTAGTTGGATAGCTTTCTCACATGTAGGATTCAACAACACTTGCCCAGCTCGAAACTACAGAGATGAGAGGCAAAAAGTTTTGATGTCAACGACCATAACCTTCCTTCCAAAGCTCTTGATTAAATTTTACAAAAAATTAATTATACAGGCTTGAAGCTGTTTTGTTTATCCATTACTATTTTCAACATGTCAAGACATACCTGGGAAAAATTTTCCAAGACAGGTCTGTAACTTCTCACAGAGCTGGAACTTGGTCTGAGCCTCTTCGGCAGTCACCTGGAGATTCTGGCACAGCCATTCTAGCTGGTTCTGAACCTGTTTAGGAAATAGTAACATCATCAGTAACTTCATTATCTTAAAATACTTAATAGCGGGAAAAAAAACATCTATTATTTCACTATAATTTACCTTTTCCAAGTTGAGGTTTAACTTCTTGTACACATTTCATTATTTTCAGTATTTTGTATGGAAGTAAAAATACTACTTTGTTTACATTTTGCTACATTTATGACTTGAACATTCTCTAAAACTATTATTTTAATGTATGTGCCCTTTCTACAGAAATAAGAATTTATTTGTTTGTGAGGAATAATGGGCCTTTAAAGATTTATATTACACTATATGTGAAGCTTCGGACAACTGATGTTTTTCACATAGCAATTATTACTTCCCCAGGCAGCCATTTATAGGGTCATTCCCAGTATATTATATGCCTTAGTAAGTTAAAATAAAAATCTCTCATTATTCTATCATCAAACGACTTCATGAACAGTGATCAAAATCTTTTACATATTAGTGCTATACTACTATTTCCTTTCATATGTATAAAAGAATTTGATATTCACCTTGATTTGCTGTTTATATTGATTTTTTTATATATATTTTCAATTATCTGATATAAAATATCAGGGCCTTTTACCCTTCTATAGCAGGGTCATTTAAGAGCAGCTTCTTCAAAGAAAAATTCTATAAAATCATGCAGCTTTCCCCCAAAATTGAACTGACATCAAATTTTTTATTTCCCTTTAACAAAAATAATTTCTAAAAAAAAATTAGGTGAAGGCCTGCTTCCCAAGCCTGTGAAAAAAAAACCTGAATTATATTGACCCCCAAAATGGCTGCCACTTTTGACAGGGGAGGTAAATATTGAAAAATTGGGAACTATCTTTTAACAACTATCTATACTTACGCCTTTAACTTTCATAAGTTTTTCAATCAGCTCTTCATGGTAATATTGTTCTATCTGTTCCTCAACGTTCAATTTCTTTTTCTTACTGCCTCCCGGCCCCTGATCCAAACCCTGATCATAGGCCTGGTACCCAGCACCACCCATGTACCCCATATTATAACCTCCACGACCTAAACAATATGAAATTTTCAGGTACATCAACGTAAACAAGCTTCAAAATAAAAAACATTTAAAATAATCTAATCTTTGACAATAATTCTACATGTATGTGTGTTACTTTCAAAAGACAGGTTAACGTTTATTGAATTTCATTAGGAATCTGACGTAACACTGATACTGCTCATATGGCAACTTTCGATTTAATAATTTTTTCAATAATTAAAATAAAACTGTACTCCGCTCCAGCTCAAAATAATCTTATCTTTATTTTGATAAATGTAATTTATATGCTATATAATTATATATACCAGGGCCGGGTCCAGGCCCGGGACCTCCTCTCCCTCTGTTCATTGGTCCCATTCCCAGCTCACGACCACCTTGAAACTGCTGGTACCCATATTGAAATTTGTTTGAAGCTGGCTGGCCGGGAACCTTTCAAATCATATACAATACAATCACAAATAGATTCTGACGTATCAAGCAATTTGCAGCAAACAAGTTGCATTAAAATTGTTCTAAAGCATGACATGTATATCAATGATTTTAACAATCTTTAGCACACACAACCTCTGTTGAGCAACCCCCTAAAGGAGAGATGTTGCTGTTGAGAGAGGTGATTGCTCTACAGAGGTTAAATTTATTGTAATGTCTTACTTTGGTATACTGTTGTTAAGAGGTTATTGCTCTAGCCTCTACAGAGGGCCTCAAATTTGCCCGATTGAAATTAATTGTTTACTTTTTGAAGAGAAATTTCAGATAGATCTGTAATTTGCAGATATAACGATAGTAGTAATGATATATGCAGTTCTGACATACATGTACAAATGCAAGTTAGCAAAACTTGAACTCTTAATGTTTCATCTGTTATCATCAAATTAATATTTCACATCAACCAAAGTCGTCTTTTCAAATGATTTTCCATGAAATGACTGACATTATACAGCAAAAATTCCTCAGATGTTCAAGTATGCTAAAAATTATTAAAAGAAATCAAACAAACTTACTAAATTACTTTTTAACTTTCAAAGGCATCAGAAAATTTTAAACAGCAGGAGGATGTAATATATATAGCGTAAAAAACACCTGTCAATGCAGGTTTTAATTTAAAAGGGGATTTTACAACCTCATTATCTCTGTTGAGCAAAGCATATACCATGAATTTGAAATCCTAACCAGCTATAAAGATTCATAAAGATTGATATAACAACTGACTAGTGCATAAGTATACCTCGATTTCTCGTGCTTTTACTATCAGGTTCTGACTGTTCAACTTGTGATTTGTCTGCTGTAACACATAATCTGCGGTATCCGCACTACTAAACTCTATGATAGCAAAAATATTCTGAAATACAATAGTTTGTTATGAAAGGTTTGGTTTGTAGTCATAAATAAATAAATATGCTTTATTGTTTACTAAAAATGCTTTATTATCTTACATTATCACCAATACAAATGACATTGAGGTAACTTGTTAAACTAAACAAAGACAGTTCAATCAAGCATAGATAATAAAATATTGCATGATCAGTAATTTCAGTATAATGTGTATAACCTAAATTCACAAGCACTGCTTTTTATACTTTATATGGGAAGTTCAGTAGCATTGTGTCATACACTTACAGTAAATTCATTACATATGGGGGCGTCCGTGGCCGAGTGGTAAAGGACGTTGACTTCAAACCACTTGCCCCTCACCACTGTGGGTTCGAATCCTGACAGGGACTTGGATTCTTTCATGTGAGGAAGCTATCCAGCTAGCTTACGGAACGTCGGTGGTTCTACTCAGATGCCCGTTTGTGCCTGAAATAAATGCACGGACGGGCATCTGAGGTCTTCCTTCACCAGTAAAGCTGGAACGTCGCGATATGACCTATACTGTGTTGATGTGACGTAAAACCTAAATCAAACAAATCATTACATATATGAAAATGATACAACAATAATACACACCTTTGGAGGAACTATTGAAACCTTGGTCACACGTCCAAATTGAGCAAAATATTGCCAGAGTTCCTGTTCTGTAGTTCCCATTGGAAAATTTCGAACAAACACACTCAATCTGGCTGTCTCTTTCTTCTTGTCCCAGAACAGTAGAGCATTTTGATGTTTTTTTCCTTGTATATGCCATTTCATAGAATTAACTGTAAAACAAATTTTAGTCATTGGCAACTTGATTTTCAAAACAGCTGGTCTGTCTACCCATTTTGTTTTTCTCAGTGATGAAAGGGGAAGCCCTCATAAGTTGAACAAATATGAATAGTTGGGAATGACATTTTAATGTAAATCAATGATAATTGGTGAGGTATTACGATAAAGGAATAATCGCAACTTTTCAGCTAAAGATTTATGTTCTGGGCCGTAACATACTCCCCAGTCCCCTGCTATTTTTAAATCAGTCCTCGAATTTCACAGAGTTACAGAGCAATGTGAATTTAACTATGAGCTATAATATTTGGCTATATTCACAGCCCCACGTTGGGCGCCAAATGTCACAGGGCGAGAAAAATGTGCAGCCTGACCGGGACTTGAACCCGGGACCCTCGGAATACCGTACCGCGGCTCTACCGACTGAGCTAATCCAGCCGCTTACACATCTTCTCCCTTAAATAGTGAACAGCTCTGATCTATGACATTAAGAATAATTGTCGATATGTTCCGATTAAAATCGAAACTGGATGAAATACTGAATGACATCTTTTAAACTAAAATTGTAAAACAAGTTATAAACAAAATTTTTATATCTGACATTCCTGTTTGTAGGGCTTTTTTTTATATGTGGTAGTCAAAGGGCGAGAGATTTTTTAGCAGACTTCCCAATTCATAGGCTTTGCATCACAGGGGATTCTGTCATTTTTTTTCCTTTCCCACTATATATATAATATAACAAGGCATACAACTCAAAATTGCTCAATTTATGAAAAAGTAATTACAACGCAGTATACAACAGTTTTTTTCTTCTGATTATTGGACATTGATGAGAGAACGGATAATTTCAAAAAACAAGAGCTGTCTGTAGGACAGCAGCTCGACTATTCTAAGTGCTTGATAGTAAAAGAGCCTTGACAATGTTAAATTTTTTAAGTTTACAAAAGGGCTAATTTTTTTTATAAATTCTTGTTATAGGCCTTAGAGAGAGTCTAATTAAACAGTATTGCAGAGTTATGCAATTTTGCAAACTGATGTACATTGTTACTATAAAAAAGTATTTTAATTTTCAATTGAATATCTCAAGCAATAATTGAGATATTTGACTTTACAAAAAAACTTTAACCAAAATTTCTAAGTTCCAAAGGGGCAAAATTCTGTCAATATTGTAGGCAGAGTTATCCAACTTGTCAATCTGATGTACCTTGTTACTATAAATAAGTATTGTAAGTTTCAATTGAATATCTCAAGCAATAATTGAGATATTTGACTTTACAAAAAACTTTAACCTAAATTTCTAAGTTAAAAAGGGGCATAATTCTGTCAATATTGTAGGCAGAGTTATCCAACTTGTCAATCTGATGTACCTTGTTACTATAAATAAGTATTGTAAGTTTCAATTGAATATCTCAAGCAATAATTGAGATATTTGACTTTACAAAAAACTTTAACCAAAATTTCTAAGTTAAAAAGGGGCATAATTCTGTCAATATTGTAGGCAGAGTTATCAAACTTGCCTATCTGATGTACCTTGTTACTATAAATAAGTATTGTAAGTTTCAATTGAATATCTCAAGTAATAATTGAGATATTTGACTTTACAAAAAACTTTAACCAACGCAGACGCTGACGCGGACGTTGACGCCGACGCCGCGGCGACTACAATAGCTCTCATACTCTTCGAAAAGTCGAGCTAAAAATGACTCACTTTGTTACATGGACAAGATATTATTAAAAATAACCTTTCATGTTTCATTTTTACACACGTTCGTAAAATTTCGGTTTGTAAAATTACACGTGTAAAACGACATCTTATGCAAACGTATGCTCATATAAGAAAGTTTAATCATGTAATAGGTTAAATATCAATTATCCACCACCATCAATGATGCAATCATTAACTTCTGGTACAAATTATTGTAACAATTTATGTTTGTTTTGATAATTTCTATCCTCGGCTTCCATTTTGATGTTGCCCGTATGTTCCAATGCGTAAATCCAACTTCTGTTAGTAACTGTCAATTTCATTGGCTAATGAATAATAATAATCCGGATAATAACGGCATATAGCCGCGACGAATAGCGGTTTTTCCATCAGCCAATGAAAATACTAAGAACATAAACACACCTGCAAAATGGACGACAACTTGACAGCCAATGTAAATATTGAAATGTTAGCTATTTCCTGCAATGTTACAGGTTTTAATGAAGTGCTTGTAGTAAAACTTGGGTAATGACTCATTCATATATCATCGTGGGAAAATTTTTACTAGGGAGAATTTACCTTGACCTCAAAAACATTAACACAAATCATGCTGTGTAAACATGTAAGAGCCTTCAAAACTATTTTTAATGTAAAACTTACCTTTTTCCTTATTCCCAAATATCTATAACTTTCAAAATCCATTTTTTATGCAAAATTGTCTGAATTTCAAAAAAATAAAAGTTTGTCTGCCTCATAGTAACTTTCCATATATGGAATTACCCGCCACCTATCAAAAAATAAGGCCAAGCATATTTTTATTGTTAAATTTTCAGTCCTGTATTTTTAATACTTTTTTTTTAAATTTAAGCTTAACCCACAGTGTCAATGAAGAAAATCTTCAGACTTTATTCCCAAACATCACTGATAAAATTGCTAACAAATTTGTTGGGAAGATGGTGTATCCGTCCTCGGGGCATTTAAAATGTATTGTGTGCCAAAAAAACACATTAAAGAGACAGGAGTTTTGGCAAAGTTGACCCAGAAAATTTTGTTATGGGCTCAGCACCTTTGTTTAGTCAGCTTGAAGAGGCTTATCTAGTTAAAAAATTTCAGACTATGTCTGATTATGGGTATAGATACACATGCCAAGAAGTATTTATATTGCAGCAGAATAATTATGCTCTTCTCCTAGGCAAAAGGAACAAGTCTCATCCTATGTTTACTGTATTTAAACACAATTGAAGCAAAAATTTAAATGAAACCCCTTCTTCATCACCGATTGTTTTCATATTATCAATTTAATTTTACTTTGCAACACATTTTCTTTTGTAAATAATGTTGGTAAATGTTCTATAGTGTGGGACATGTCAGTCTCTAACCACCAGAAACATTTCATTCAACAAAAAAGTATAATTCAATTTTCAATGTTTAGGTAGCACCTAATTTCATATTACTGTTAATCTGTTAAATGTGTTAGAACAGTTATTTTTAATTAAATGCTCACTTTGGACCAAGTAGTGACCAAAACCAAACTTAGATGTGGCCTTATTGTACTTTTTTGCAAAGAACTATGGGATTACGTCACATCCACGAATGGCGGGAAGTGAAACAAAATGGCCGCCTCCATTGATAAATGTAAACAAAAGGTGACATTGACCCTTGTTGAAGATTATACATGTGAAATATTCGTGAGAATTATGAGGAAATAAATTTTTTTAGCAGGTAAGTGACGTATTTTTTCTACTTGTTGACCTTTTATTGTTTGATACGCCGGAGAATGCTTAGCGTCGTGGATTTACGGTAGTCGAGGATATTAACTTCTAGTTCTACAATTACTTTGATGGAATACTGGTTGGAGAGATAACTCCGACACTAAATCACATAATTTTTGCAATATTTTAATTATCTTCCAGTATATTTTAAATATTGAACCACCTAAACAAAGTTCAGTTCAAAGACTTTACATTACACTACAAAAATTATGTATGGAAATGGAATCTGGTACTTCTTTAAGGTCTTGAATGAGGTATACAAAACATAGTCTTTTTACCCCACAACAGTAGATAAAGTCGACACTTAAATTTTTAAGTAAAAAAAGACTGGAAAATCAGCATCAATAATTTATCTTTACATCTTATATGGTTTATCTATTTTTTGTAAATATTTAAACAATTTTTTAACAATCTTTCCCAAGTCAGTGGCCTGTGGTCAATACATTTCTAACTACCTTATTGTAATTTAGTAAAAAGAACGTTTTGAAGCAGTTTTTGCCTACAAAAAGTTTAGGTTATTTGAAAAACATTAAAAAGTTTACCAAATTATAATAAAGCATCACATTCTGTCCTGTTCCTATACTATTAGGTGATCATGTGCTTGTTTGTTGAAAAACAAAGCTATAACAATTATACTTATCAAGTGTCGGGGTTATCTATGCGTCGGAGTTATCTCTCTGACCAGTAGAGGATATTTTATACAGTTTACACGTGTGAATGCATTTTACGAGCCCGTGCTGGTAGTGCGAGGCCACAACTTGTATCCCTTGTTTATATTATATATATATAGATTTAATAAAAAAAATGACAGATTTCCCTGTGCTTTGCAGTGGTCATTTTTTGCAATAAAAGTTAACACCCCAAAACAATTTAGATTCCAAAAATAATCAAATAAACCACCTTCAACAAAGTTTATAACTTAATTAAGACTTACAATTTGGTAGTTGCGCATTGCACACCTCACAATGTAAAGCGCCCTGTTGATTCATTTTCTAAACTGTTCACTGAACAGCTGAAATTTTCAGTCACGTGCGATTGTGAAAATGGCTTGCTTTTTGTTTGTTTTAACAGCTGTCAGTGCGAGGTTAATAACAAATTCTTAATTTGATTATCTGAAATCAAAGAATCAAGTTTTTCCTTTTCTTATTTGCAACTAAAAACGTTACAAAATTATTTTCCTGGACGCCGATGTTACTGATTTACGCCGCCATCTTGATATCAATAAAGCCCCGTCGAATTATTTCAGGAAGCGTTGTCAGCACGGTAAGGATTCGTCGTCTTCCGAGAAAGGAATCGATAAAGATCACCAAAAGAACGTCAAAACCGGCAAAGTTGAAAAATTATTTGATTTTTATAGATAGTTTATACATTAAGAAAAAAATGTAGTAAAACAAGTTAGAAAGTCCACAGCTGCCTATATAATCCTACTGTATTATTATTTTAAATAGAACCTTATTTTGATCCACCTTAATACAAGGATAAAAAATTTGGACCAACTTGTTCCCAATTTTTGGATCAGATTTGATCGTCATTCTTTATGAACACCAACTTTGATCTTGACCCGAAAACTGATCCAAAAACTTGATATTGATTCAAAATATAAGGACCAGAAATGTTTGTGAACTTGTCCTAACTGTCTTAGTTTGAGTCTACTTGTAAGAATTCTAAATGTAGTGATTCAATGAAATGGTGATAGTGTGACACTTGTAACTATTAAAATTTTAGAAATTTAGTATTTCCACATGTTGGCAGCCATGTTGTTCGTATGAATTCATTGAGTTGTTGACTAAATAAATCGATCGTGCTGTCATAATTAATGAGCTTTCAAAATATTGATATTAATTCTGGCAAGTATTTTTAAATAAATAATGCCACATTCAATGATTGCATTGTGTCTTAATTTGTCGCTTTCGATAAAACTAAAACAAATATAATCGCTTTGTGGAATCTTGATCTAGTCAGTTTTGTTTTCAAAATTCAATCCCCCCAGATACCCCTACCCCAAGTTATAATAATTTTATAGGAAACTCAAAGGCCCGTCTGCACGGCACAGCTGAAAATGTTTCACTGTTTTGATTTGATTTGAGTACAATGTATGTTCATGAACATCAGTGACACAGCCACCGTCCACGCACCCCTAGAACCGTCTAAAGCAGAGTTCAACATTTCAATAGGACCTAGACGTTTATAAATATCCGTAAATGTAACCATACGAAGGTGATCATGGAACCTTCAAAGTGACACTTTCATGCCATGTCATGTAAAGCGGTGTATGGTTTACAGCGGGGTGTGATCTACAGGTAAAATAATGTGTGTACTGTTTAAACGAGACAACAATTGCAGATACATCTAGTAAAATGAAATTTCGAATCCAATCAGAGACTATGGATTCGTGAAACACGTATCCAGCTATTTTACGGAACATCAGTGGTTCTCATCAGGTGCCCGCTCGTGCCTGAAATAATGCACGGAGGGATACTTCAGGTCTTCCTTTACCAGTAAACCTAGAAAGTCGCCATATGACCATTATAATTTTGGTGCAAGTTTGAACCCAACAAAATCCAAATAAAACATAAGCAGACTCTATATCCTGTATGATGGAGACAGATCAATTTTTATAACGTTTAAATAATGGCTTTAGAGCATACCTAGATGTTTGTAATTTGAAAAAAGAATTAAGCGCTAAATGTGAAATAATGTGTTATAAATGTAGCAAAATGTAAACAAAAAAGTATTTTGACTTCCATACAATTAAAGTACTAAATCACTATATCTGTACTAATTGCCAAAAAAGTAACAGAAGAAAAAGATGGTAAAGGTAATGGTTCAAAAGCTAAGCTTTTTGGAAACTTTAAAATTACACCAAATATAAAACTGCTTTTTATGCATAAATATGGAAAAATTTCTGGTGCTGACTGGGCCTTTATCGTGTGAGACCTACTTCAGCCTGACAGAAATAGAAATGTATCTCGTAAACGTCAACACAACTAAATTTTGTGCACGTGCATTTGTATATTGTTTGTGCATATGAGCTATATTTGGAGAGTAGAGATTTATTCGTTTATCCTACAAAAATATAGATGAGAAACATTGATTTTTGGTCCGCCTAGATTTTGATTTATTGCAATTCTGTTCATTTATACCAGAGTATAAAACTTGTGTACATGTATTAGTACCTTTAAAAGTTAAAGGCATATATTAGGCCTCAGAAACGAGTATATTTCTACTTCCTTAGAAATTGCAATAATGAGTTTTATAACGTTTATGTAATAGTTTTAGAGCATTTGTAAGAACAGAAAAAAAAACAATATTAAAATTAAATTAACCATTGTTAATAAAAGAACATTGTTTTACGCATTTTCAAAAAAAGATAAATTTCCCACCCAAAACCCAAAAAAAATTTACAATTTCAATAAAATTATTTCCCATTGTTTCAAAAAAAATGTAAATTTTTACCCGTTTTAAAAATTTTTAGCACCTTTTCATTAAAGACTTTTTAAAAATAAAATAAAATCTCCCTTTTTTATTTTTTAAAATCATGTGTATTTTGTGACAAATTGGAAGAATCAACAGTTCTTGAATTTTTTCAGAAATTTTCAATAAAAAACAGGGACTAAAAAAGATAATAAAATTTGTAAATAAAATCATATTTTTTTTTCCGGATTAAATGTCAATTTTTTTCGCATATCCCCCTTTTAAAATTTATAAATTTTGATTTTAATTTTTCTGTGAAAGGCACGTTGAACGACCGAACCCTTTCTTTTGGGAACAAAGACGCCGGATAGGGGGGAAAGCAAATTTTTAATACAAAATTAAACATTTCCCAACCCTTGCCTCCTGGCGCTGTCGTGCACTGGAAAAACCGCGGCCGGGGGCTGCATCTTTTAGGATAAACTTTTATTTTTGTCCCCACTATTTAATTTTCATTTCATTTCTTTAATTTTAAAGAAAACCTATCCAGCCGAACAATTAAAAACCCAATCTCTTTTTCCACATAGGTAAAACCCGACAAAAACTTTTGGAACGAAAAATTTAAATTTTAAAATTAAACACATCCGATTTTTTGCATAAGGTTTACTTTTTGCGGGGATTTAACAATATTTATCGGGGTTTTTTTTCGCGCTACAACAATTCCTAATTCAATTTTTTTATCATTTTTACGTGAAAAATGCACCGTTTTGGAAAAATTATAACAATAATTTCTGAAAATTTAATTTTTAAAGGGCCTTTTTTTTTGGGGAATTTTCCTTAGGAACTAAAAGCCCGGGAAAAAAAATTTCCTACAATTTTTTCAAACAAAATTTTTTACTTTTAAATTTTTTAAACCAAACCTTTTTTGGGGAAAATTAGACTTTTTCTTTCAATATTACCAACCTTTTTAGCGCATCTAAAAAAAAAGGGTTTTTTTCACTTTCCCGAAACCCAATTTATTCCTGGTCCAGGCCCGAAATAAACTGTCAAACAAAATTAGACCTTTTATGAAATCCCTCAAGAAAACCCCCATTGATTTGTGACCCCAGGGGCAATGCTATATCAATCGAACCCATTTTCATCTGTTTGCAGAGACTCATCCCCTCGAACCTTGTCAGATCTTTATCAATTATTGTCAACAAGTTTAAGTTACGCCCTACACAGACTTGTACATCTAACGTTGTGCTGTTTGCTGGTATGATCACCGGATCAATAGAACCCACGTATGGGACATTCTCGTCTGATATACATCGCCAAATCTGGCAGGAAATGAAGATCAAGTAAATTTCCTTTCTATGATTCATCTTTCAACGAATTATAACATTAGTACATTTACGTGTTTGTCCTTTGCTTCATTGGCATATAAACTCCACCTTATGGCAAGTCTTTCTGTTTTAATCGAAAGGACCTCACATAAAATATTTTGTATACAATTTATTGAAATGTTTTCATAGGAAATATGCCATAATGGTTATCTAATGGCAATGATGTAAGTGTCGCTGCTTTTTGATTGGATGTTGGTTTCTGTATTTTCATTGTCTCCTTGAAATTGATGTACTTTAAGTCCATTAACTGAACCAATTTATTATGATGTTGTTTGAACAGTGTATGACCATTTCAACACAATGTGAACAAACAGTATCGGAAGATGCCAAACCTTTTATTCTGTTTTACTGTAAATAACTTGGTATTGGTAGACCATATTGATCACCAAGGTGCGGATAATACTAAAACAATGTACATGTATATACGAAAAGGACAATAGCGTTAAAGGCACATTATCCTCAGAAATCTGTAACTATTAAATTCTGTACAAATATCAATTTTGTGTAAAATAATGTCTCAACAATGGATTTAGAGCATATTAAATGGAAAGTAGCGCTGAATGTGCAGTAATATGTCGTAAAGAGTTAGCCAAACGTAAATAAAGAAGTATTTTGACTTCTATACAAAACGCTTATTCACTATACATTAAACATAGTTATACCGATTGGCAACAAAGCAAAAGGAGCAAAGATAGTTCAATTATATATGTCAAATGAGTATATCTATTTTTTTGGAAACTGTAACAAAATACTAAAAATAAATAGTTTTTGAGAAATAAAAATGATAACATTTCTGAGGCATAATGGGCCTAATGGGCCTTTCAAAGGCCGTTTGCTCTGGTATAATGATTTAATGGATGTAAAAATGTAAAAAGAAAGAAGATCCCTCAAGAGCAATGACAACAAATTATGATGAATCATAGCATTGCAGCGTCTACCTACAACGGTGAACGTTAAAATGACCACGTTTCGTACGATTGTTGTTGTTAGTTTTTTGTTGATTTTTTGTTTTTTGTTGTTGTTGTGTTTTTTTTGCGCCTTTCTTGGTTTACTTGTGGAGACAGACTTCAGGTACCTCTCCGTGTGTTATTTAAAGCATGAGTGTACCATGAGATAGTTTGATGTCTAATATGAATACATGTGCACAGTGTCTACTGTATCAACTATAGCAGGTCGAGTATTCAATTTACTGAAATTAATTGCTTGGAACATTTCTTTTATCCCAAAGGACCATGATTTGTTTACGGGTCACGATCAGAGAAAATATGACAAAAACTTTGATGTGGATGGAATGAAAATAGTGAATATCTAATTTAACACATGGAATGACTACGTAAGTGTACATGAGACTCATGTTAAACGTATGAAAATTGTAAATTTCTTAAAATTTAACTGACAAGAAAATATTTAGATATTAAGAAGAGTGGCACATTAACGCAGTTTGAAAATACAAAAATAAAGATACGTATGCTTTTGCATGCTTCTCAAAAAAAAACTTGATTTATAACAGAAAACGCATGTAATTTTGAATAAAGAAGAGTTTCAATTTCCGGCATATAATTGAAAATAGACCGCTACAAGACGTACATTGCAAAACATTGTACTAATACATCACGTGCACAAAGATGAATCATGACGAATGTTTGGTTTCTAGAGGGTAAAATGCATGTCTTCAGGTTTTCATTGTACCGATACTGTAATTGTATTTCCTTTATTTTTTTCATCTATTGATTGGGTATATAAATTAATTGTATCATAGTTTGGGGACCTTTCTGTTGAAAAAGTGTCAGAGTTAAATCGTATACATATACATGCACAGTGCGGTAACTGGAGTGCAGGTATCAGTTGCCCGCACTCCAGATAATCCCCGTTGATTGGTTCATTTTTGCTGGGGTTTACTTATTGTGACGGCAGAGAAAGGGAAAGGGGCAGAAATATCATATTCAAATGCTCGTTCATTGGTTCATTTTTTCTGGGGTTTCGTATTATGACAACACGTGCTGTCATGTTTGACTATGATACAAAAGAGAAAGAACACCAAAACACTCGGCAATCTGATTTATACTCGGGGGCTACGCCCCCTCGTACAAATCAGATAGCCTCGTGTTTCGGTGCTCTTTCTATTACGTATTCACTGGGTATATTGCTTGGATATTTTCGTTGGTTATGTTGTTTTGGTATATTGCTTGGACATGTTGATAGGGTAAATTAATTTGATAAATTAATCGGGCATATTGGATGGGTATATTAATTTGGTATATTAATTGGACATATTGCTTGGGTATAATAACTTTTGTCAATTAAATACAGAAGGCTTCTTTATTACTTCTTTAGAAATCAAATTTACACAACTTACATTATACGATGCCAACTTTTAAATCTTATTTTCACTACAATTGATCGAAGATGGTTTTCTTACTGAAATTGTCTGCTTATATAATGCGTTGAAATAACAAAACAACGCTGTTCTTATATTGCTATAATATTACAGCCTTCTTAAATTACGCTCGTTATACGATCAATTTACTTCATTCCACTCCTATAATTGAATCTCATCTTCAAATTTCACAGAATTTTCTCATTTCAGTTAGTTAATCTATTAACTGCAACACGTTTTGTGGATCTAATTTAGTTTGAAAACAGTTTTCGTGAGGAGAAAAATCACCATTAATTTATAAGATTATATCTAAAAATCACACAAACCAAGTTATAGTTGCAGGAGTTGGATTGTTATTTTTGCGACGACGTTCGTTTATGTACTTTCTTTGCCTATTCAAGTATAATACAAGTATATAGATAATTGATGCTTATGCAAGGACGGTTTTATTTATTTGTTTTTGTTGATCTATTATTAATGATTTGTTATTATTAATGATAGCAGTTAATCTCAATTATTTGTTTCCCTTATGGCTTATTAAAGCGTCTACAATATAAATATATTTATTTGTTTATATGTATTGTTTGGTTTTACGGCGCACTAACGCAATTTAGGTCATATGGCGCCGAAACTGGAAAGGCGATTTTGGCTAACCTCGGTTGTTACAAAATGAAAGAAACATCAGGTGTCAAAACCACCTAACCTGCTGGAGCTTAGAGATGCATAGAGTCCAGTTATTTAAACTCGTTAAGTCGCCACTTACGATCATGCCGGGTGCCTCAACCCTCCAAAGGCAGCTACTCAGCCATAAAGAAGTCCCTATTTTTTCGACCCGAGCCGAATTTTAATTTGTCAATTATTTCGAATGTCGAAACTTTTACGTGGTCTGTATAAAATAGCTTGAGTAATTAAGTGTCTATAAGCATACATGTATATAGTTTTCTACACACTCGAACCAAAATAAATTCTGTATAAACCAAATAAGTCGAACCCCTATACTATATACTAGCATAGGAAACCAGTACATGTTTCTTAACAATTGAAAGTGAGTAATACGAACGGCAAGAAATTGTTTTATAACCGAACTACATGTACATTTTTTTCTCAAAAAGTTGAAAACTTAATTTAACTTCTGTAGATAAGACACATCTCAGCAGCAGCCAAACTCATTGTTTCCTATAAAAAGGGTCTTGCTATACAGAGTTGTAACTGAATATATTATATGAGCCGTGTCACAACAAAACCAACATAATGGGTTTGCGACCAGCATGGATCCAGACCAGCCTGCGCATCCGCGCAGTCTGATCAGGATCCATGCTGTTCGCTATCAGTTTCTCTACTTGTTATAGGGTTTGTAAGCGAACTGCATGGATCCTAATCAGACTGCGCGGATGCGCAGGCTGGTCTGGATCCATGCTGGTCGCAAACGCATTATGTTGGTTTTGTCATGACACGGCTCAATTATATTGTTATAAATACGTGAGTAGCAGGCTTATTTCGCCACTTTATACCAAATGATGTTTGTCATTTGTTAAATGTAATAATTAAATTATATACATTTGACAAAGTGCTAAAATTTATAAGAATCAATAAATACCGATTTAGCCTGCAGCGATTTCTGTCTGATCTAACCAATATGTATTTAGTCTCTTATCACAACTGGTGTTTCAGATGTGTTGGCCTCAGTTATTGAAAATTAGATAGAAATTGTTGCCGTAAATGTGATAGCAAATAGTGCGAACATATGGCATGTGAATGCCGTGCAATTCTTTAAACAAATCTCTTATAACGTACTTTGTATGAAAAATATTATTGAATTTTTTTTTATAAAATTGTATATCAAATGAATGGATTGGAAAAAAATAAAAATGATAAATGTAACTGCATACTAATGTGCAGAATAGAAGTTACAGTAAACTACAGATAGGTCATAACATAATTACTTTACAGATAAGTGATAACAGAATTGCACTTTACAGATAAGTGATAACGCAGATAAGTGGTGACAGAATTGCACCTTACAGATAAGTGATAACGCAGATAAGTGATAACGGAATTGCACCTAATAAACCGAAATTGTACCTTACAGATCAATGATAACGCAGATAAGTGATAACGGTATTGTACGTACCTTACATAAAAGTGATAACGCAGATAAGTGATACATTCATATCGGAATTGAACGTTATGGGCGTACCCTACAGATAAGTGATAATTGAATTGTAGCCTACATAAATGTAAAAATGGAGTATTATCATACAGATAAGAGACAACGGGATTGTATTATTCAGAAATGTGATAAATGAAGCCTACAGATAAGTGATAACGGAACTGCATTCTGCAGATAAGTTATACAAACTTGTTCCCTGTAGAGAAGACTGTTTAGTGATAACAGAATTGTTACCTACAATAATATATAAACGGAATAGCATTTTGTGGAAATAAAATAACGGAAAAGTAATTTGAAAAAAGTGATAACGAACAAGGACAGTGAGGAGAAAACAAAACGTAATGATATTCTGAAGAAAAGGATAACGGAATAATTTCGTGAAGAAAAGTAATAACGGAATATTGTTCTGAAGAAAATTAGATGAATATAGGAATTGTAATGTGTAGAACAGTTATAACGGAAGAGTTCTTTGCAAAAAGCCATCACAGTCTAGTTCAATACAAAAACTAATCAATGGAATAGACTTTGAAGTATAGTAACGAAATAGCACTTGAAGAAAAACGGAATCACATTTTAGAGAAAACAAATAACTGACTAGATTTGTGAAGAAAAGGAAATTAGTACTCCGTTAACAGTTGTATGGTTTTGGAACAATAATTATCACGGAATAGACTATGTGGAAAAGTAAAACCGAAATAGTAATTTGCTGAAAAGTAATAACTAATAATTCAGTAAAATTGTTTTCGTATTTTGTGAAACAACATGTATAATAGGAGTAATAGTACATGTGAAAACGTAAACTTCGTTGAACATAAAAATGCTACAAAATGGAGTGTACTGTTTGTTGGTGTAATAATTGTAATGTTTACAGTGATCTTTAACATAACTGTAATTGTTAAGATAAACCGGAAACGGAAGTTGAAGACATTTGCGCGATTTTTCCTGACATCGTTAGCTTCGGTTGACCTTTGTGTAGGGGTCACAATAATGCCGGTGAATATAGTTAATGAACTGTACGGTTTGAAACAGACTGCTGGGATGCTCTTTTGCGACATCTTGAACACTTTGGATTACATGCTGAGCACAGCTTCAATATTTTTTCTCACAATACTAACATTTGATAGGTACATTGCTCTCTGTAAACCATTCGAATATCACAGACTCTGTAACAAAAGGATGATTGTCATTATTACATTTTCTACATGGTTATTTATTATTGCAATAGCATTCGGAATTATCCCGACCGGAATGGTGTACTACGGGGTACCGGAAGATATCCTGTTCTGTGTTCTAAAAGAAGAAAAGGCCTGCGTTTTTCTCATGAGCAAATATTTCGCGGTTTTATCCTCAACAATTTCTATTCTTGTGCCAGTTATAACTATTACTTACCTAAACGTACAACTTGCATGTCATATACGTCGACAAAGCAATATCAGCGCCAAGATAGGTTTTAACGGCAGTACTGCCACATTTATAGACCACAGACACACTTCGCAGGGTGTACATGTTGCCAAAACGATTGCTGTTTTAACAATCAGTTTCTTGTTCTGTTGGGTACCATTTTTCATTGTGTTAAACATCAGTGTGTTTTCTGAATACACTCTCTCGTACGGAATATATGTAGTTGCCAATTGGTTAGGGTATTTGAATTCAACAATTAATCCGTTTTTATACATTCTCCTCGAGAGAAAGTCTTGCATTGGAAGACATTGAATCATGTGGTAAATCACGTGATGTTAGTCTGAATCACGTGTTTCACGCGTTTGTGTTCGGACAATTGTATTTCCAAGGATCGCTGTACTCGGTTTAACTGACATGCATCCAATATAACTGCCAAAGGAGCCGTACAAGATGATTGATTTGTGAAACAAAGAATCGTTTTATTTCATTGAAAATTGATACCAGATACATATTGTTCTTAATGCCAGTAAATTGTCTAATAAACCACAGAGTGATTTTAATAAATAACAATTCTTAAATAAAATATATTGAGATAGTTTTATGTCAAGTTTATGAACATCAGTCGTGGATTCCATCTTGTACTATTTAATAAAGCGATATTTAGCAGATGAGTTTTGTATCCTGGCCGTTTATGTAAAATACAAAATATATGATTAATTAAAGACCTCAGAAACGGAAAATTGCTTCCTTCTTCAGAAATGACAAACATAAGTTTAACAACATTTAAATAACGGTTTTAGAGAATGAGAGGTGTTTTTCACATGAAGAAAGTAGCTATAAATTTGAAATTTTTTATTATAAAAGTAGAAAAATGTAAACAAATTAGTATTTTAGCTTCCATACAAAATCATTGTAATTGTACCTTTTGAAGGCAAAAAATTGTTCAGGTAATGGGCCAATGAGTAAGTTTGTTTGTTTGTTTTTTATCAGAACATCAAATATTGGAAGCTTTTGATAAATATTTATAAAAGCATTTCTAGGGCATAATGGGCCTTTAAACGGCCGTAAAAGAAGTGTAAACCGAGTTAGATGGATGGTTAACCTTATGAACATTTTCCCGACATATGACATTTAGACAATTACAGTCACGTAAGATATACTGATATAATATGTTTTTATAATTTTCCACGCGTTCTACTAATAAAAATGATGAATACGTAATTTTGTAACGTTAACTTTATTAATTTAGTTAAGTAAAACCAATTAAATTCACAGCTTGCATCTTCCCTCCAGTATACTCACAGTCGTTTCATAAACTTCATTGTTCTTTTTTCGTGAATTGCCTTTATCGCAGTACATTACACTACAAATTTTTCCTGTATGTTTACCTGAAGAAAAACAAAATCAATGTCAGAAACCATCAATTTCCCTGATGATTGAGTTCTAAAATAATTACGTTTTCGGGCAGGTAGCCATGAGTTGTTCCCTCAAGGTCTGTCTAAAATAAGAATCAAAATATGAATAGGTTTTTTTTTATTTTTATTTTTAAGCAGTTCGGTATGCTCAATAGGTAGAGCGTTGGACTGTGAATCGGGCGACCAGGGTTCGACGTTCGATTCCCGGACGGTGCAGATCACTTTCGTTGTGATTCATCTACTGTCATTCGCACTGTACCTCTGCTCTGGCATGTACAGAAGTTTCAGTTCCTTGCGAAAGTGAAGGTAACAAGTACTGGTAAAATGCTTGACAGCCGAAGGTGGTTTAACTGTGCTCTGGTAAATTCAATGTGGCTTACTGTCGTGATCCGGAGTGAAAACTACCAACACCACCACCAGTTTTGTTTCTTAAGTCTTTTTTCCCCATAGCCGTTTATAGCTTGTCACTTACATCAATGCCGTCGTTTTCAAACCGTTGTTTTTTAAGATCAAATTATTAAGCTATTTGATGTTTTTGTCACGTGATTTAGTTATGTCTGACCTTAAGGCAGAAAGAAAACGATTCTAGATGACGCAAGTCGATGGGACAGACACATACCACCTACACTATGTCAAGCTATTACAAAGACCCGTTCATTTAACCTCAAATGTTGTCTTAAAGGACCACCACTGAGGTTCAAAAGCCTAAAACATAAAAAAATAATTTCTTACATAGACCAGCTGGGGCACTAAAACAAATAGATATGCAAAATGTAGCTAAAAAAGAGAAATAAAATGACAATCGTATTTTTGTGCTATTCTAAGCCTAAATTAGAGTGAAAAGCGTTGCAACGCTTTTCAATTTCGGGTCATTTTTCACTGTTAGAATAATTATTCTTTAAAAAGCGAATGATCTGAATTTTTACACACATGTTATCGGCCTAGATCTGCATCAAATGATACATTTATCTCGAAAAAATATTTACAGTCCCGGCTATACAAAAAGCAGCGAAGTCCCTTTTAATAAGGTACATTGTATATGTAACATATACACACATAGCGTTAAAGTCATCCTAGAGCAATCAGTTAAATTATATTTATCAACATTATTGTGAATGGTCTATGGTTACAAAATATAAATGGTAAGAGAGGCAAACTTTTATAACACTCATTTAAAAAGAAAAAATGGTTCAAAAACCCTTTTAACACCAACTGGAAATGCTCAAAAATATATTTACACAAATCTAAAAAATAATCGTAGGAAATGTACACCCTTTACCTCATTAATGCAGTTGTTGTTGTGATGTTGTTGTTGTTGTGTTGGTTGTGGTGGTGATGGTTGTGTGGTTGTTGTTGTTGTTGTGGGTATGTTTCATTTGTATGTACTAACGTATCATAATATTGAAATATTATTACATTTGTAATTGTAAAAAGATCAAACATACTCAGATTCAACTTATATAAATGATCACAGCAAAAAGACAACATAAACACTGACGTGGGAAAGTCCCTCGGGAAATTGTTACACGGTGGGACATCCTCTTAGATTCTTAAACTCCGCTACAAATGTATTAAAGTTCCATCAAAATGGAATGTAAATTGATTTTCAATCATTGTCAAATTATATTTTACCACTGTGATGGGAATCAAAAGTAAATATGGAAGTTGCGGTTGACATTTTAAAAGGCAATATCAATTTACATGAAATAATAACTTTTTATTATGTGCTCCTCGTAGATATTTTAACAAAGGACGTGCATTTTGGTTTGGTTTGAAACAGTGATAAAATAATAGCATGAAATGCTTTGCCTTAAAAAATCAGAAAAAAAAAGTTTCATTTCAGCGACAAATTGTGTGACATCACAAACGCTTCCAGTTTTAGTCGATAAGTTCATCAAACAATGTAATCCATATGTGATCTGGGGTAAGAGGCGTGAAATAAGTTTTGCATTCGTCTCGCTAGAACTTCTATCAGACATAGATTTATTATAAAACCATAAGATTTAGACGATATTGCCACTCGATATGATGAAAAAAGAGGAAAACAATGGGCAATTAATTTGTTCGCGTGTAATGAAAAAAACAATGTCTAGTTAGTACGTACCTTCTAATATAAATTTGTGAAAATAATAAAAATGAGAAAAGTACAATATTTATAATAATAATAATAATAATAATATTAATATTAATATTAATAATTATATGATGATGATGATGATGACGATGATGACGATGACCAATGGCGTCGATTACGATGTTGATGATACATGTAATAAAAAGTATCAATTAAAAAATCAACAAAAACACGTGTTTTTATGTTTGAGTTTTTATTTATTTATTTCTTTATTTTAATTTGTTTATTTATTTATTTTGTTCAAACATCAATTCTAGCTAGTATACCCTGTACAAACTCATTACCGTTGACACTTTACATTTAAGATTTTTCTATGCTAATAAGAACAATTCCACTAGTTTGCATTTGAATCAAAATATCTCTTTTACTTGCTGAAACAAATTAGGTGCCGTGCGAAAATGTCATTTCTTCATGCCTTCTTTATGGAATAAATTCATTTAAAAATCGACATTGGTTGTTTAGATAATTTAACATGTAATGTAATTTGAAACAAACAAAAATAAATCAACAACAAAAAACGGCACCTTCCGTGTGTTTTAAACCTTGAAAATGAACCTTAAAGCAGCATGCCTCCAGATACATGAAAATTTCATGAAAATTTTGAAAATGTATTTAAAAGTAAAATACTATGAAGTGAACAAAGAAAGTAATTTTCACATTGCAAACGGCCTAATAATTAAGTTACAGTCCACGTAAATTACCAAAGAGGTCAAAATATACAATGTACATAAATACCTCTAGTAACGCAGTAGAAAGATAGTGATTGATACTGCAAAATCAGTCTTTAATCGCATACAACATGTAAATAATTAATAAAATATTAAATATTCTTACTTTTCTTAAGATAATTATACGTTTTTCTAAAGATTGAATTTCTTGAAATATTTTTACTCATCTATAGGCGTACATCTTTAAAAATGAATGCGTTATTTTTGGTAATTCTTGGACATTTTAATTAAGTGTCGTTTGCAATGGGTAAATTACTTTGTTTATTCATTTGACAATATTTTATTTTTGAATAAGTTTTAGTGTTTTCAGGAAAATTAAAGAAGATACATGTATTATGTTTTATAATGGTTAAATGATGGATTTTGAGCATGTTAGATGCCTATCACGATACTGAAAGCAGTGTTGAATTTGATTTTTTTGCCACAAAATTACCAAAACATAAACAAAGTGGCATTTTATCTTCCATAAACAAATCTTTGTGACTTTAGTAATGGCAAAAACGAGTAAAAAGGATGGTTAAGCTGTATTTATAATGAGTCTATAATGAAAATTAGGCATTTTGAGGGCTTACAATCTTAATTCTCAGTTAATTTTACTTAATGTTAGGGGGAATATGCCATCTTCTATGTATTATTTACATATGTTGCATATTTATTACGATATATATAGACAGACGAACTGGGAAGTCATTGACCGAGAGGTTAAGGTCGTTGACTTTAAACCACTTACTAGTAATTGCCACTCACTGCTGTGTGTTCTAATCCCGCCTGGGAATCCTAAAGTTATGATTATTTCATGTAAGGGAGCTTTCGGAATGGCAACCAAAATATATTAAGAAAATCAACCTTGAGAAAAATTAACTAAGTTTTTAAGAAGATAATCATGTTATATGCAACTGATGACTGATTTTGCAGGATTCTGACCTATTTTTGGTAATTCTTGTACATTTTAATTAAGTGTCGTTTGCAATGGGTAAATTACTTTGTTTATTCATTTGACATTATTTTACTTTTTAATAAGTTTTAGTGTTTTCATGAAAATTAACACAGATCTGGAAGCATGCAGCTTAAAGCAGTTCTTAATTTTAAGCACTCAATGTCCCTGAGTATCCACAGAAATTATATAAGTACTGGGCTACTAGTATACTTTACTGCAGTTACATTCGTCGCATCCCTTCAAATTTGCCATTTAAAAACAAAAAACAAAAACGATCGTAAAAAATAAATTTTACGGATAGGTCGCCTTTTTAAGATAAAGAAGGATAGTTCAAGCAACAATATTGCGAAATATTTCTTCTAGTCTGTCCAGATTATATTAGATAAAATGATTTTCTGACGTCAGACGTGTTTTAAGTCTATTCAATTGGCTTATTTCGTGTTTTGTCCGCAAATGGATTGGTTTTCCCCGGGTAGAATAAAAACAAATAAAAAACAAAGTACAAGCTAGTGCTCTCACGAAACTTGTGTCATTTCATAATGAGGACAATGCGTGTTTATTTAGATGTCGTCTGATTATTCTCCTTTGATATTGATGACCTTATAGGAAACCTTTCTATTTTTCCCATACATATATGTATAATCTAAAAATGTAGTCTTTTACAGATACTTTTATTTCCTCCAAGAATGAAGAGTATAGCAGTATTTACAAAACAACAATACATATGAAGTACAATATGAATTTGATACATTATTAAGATAATAAACAAAAATGATAATATAAACAGGATTCGAGTTAGCTTATCAACAAGAAATGTAAGTATAAAATAAAATATACATAATATTATTTCACACATTATAAAATTTACATAATTTTATTTCACACATTATAAAATTTAGCCAATGCACTTCCAGCATTTGCACCACGTGATGTTCCAAAAGAAATCAATATTGCATTCAATATTCCATTAAGAATTGTTTTTATTTCAAAAAGTCCATATCAAATCCATATCACATCCCATAAGTTATTTATAGCCTCGCTTTCAATTCCAGAGTTCAAAAGGTTCATTTCAAAACCATATCGCACCCTATCTAGCCTCGTTTACATTCTTGAGAGTCCAAAATCCATACCAAATCCTTACTGTAATCGAAGTAACAAAGTTCTGTTAAAATGTCCAAAAATGGAGTTGTTAAATAGAGATCATTAAACATGGTTGAGAATATGCTGATTATATTGGACCCATACACAGCTGCAAAACCTATATTAGACTAGGTTAGCGCTTCGTCCAATATGGTTTGACATCTATGAGCTCGTCCAACAGAAAACAATATTGTACTCTACGATGTTTAATAACCTCATATTTTTTCACACATAATAAAATATTACCAATGAACTTTTATCATTTGCGACACGTACGTGTTGTTCCAAATATAAATCATTATTGGGTCAATTTAGCCTCGTTCTCATGTCCAGAGTCCAAACATAGATATCAAATTTATATCACACTCCATATAGCCTCGTTTTCATTTCAAGAGTCCAATTAAAATATCTTTATCAAATGCATATCATACTCCATCTAGCCTACCTTCCATTTTGTGACTCCAAAAAGCCAACAAAGTTCTGTGAAAATGTAAAAAAATGGTGGTGTAAAAATAAATAGATACATAGTTAAGAACATTACTGATTCTATCGTCTCTTCAAATATGTTTTGACAGCTGTGCACCCGTCTAATAGAATTCAGTATTGTACTCCACAATGTATAGGTGTCTTATACGAAAGCTTGTATTTCATTTATTAATGCAGTTTATAAGAAGGGAGACAACCCTGACATACCATAAAGTTAATTTTAATACTAGTTTTCTCCCTTTACTGTACATGTTTTGAAGGGTGTTTGGACTTTACACCTCCTGGATGTTTCATCCCTGGACGTTTCACCCCCAAAACCCTGGTCTTTTCACCTCCACTTTTTAAATTTGATAAATATATTATGAAATAAATACCATTATGGGTTACAATATTGTTGAGGAATCTATTCAAAAGGACTGAGAACGATATGCCAATGGTGAAATCAACAGTGCTACTAAACTATTGCGTGCTATTTCACATTCATATGGAATTGCTGAGAATTCTGTGTACAGTGTAAAGTGAATTTTAGTGAAAAGAGTCGACATTCACAAATAGTCACTTCAGTGAAAACAGTGAAAAAACAAATGAAAACTTGCAAGGTTGAACTAGTGAAAGTGTACATATTGTATTATAGTAATCATAGTGATTAGTCTGAAATGTTTTATATTATTATAGATTTTTAATATTTTGTATTATATACACACAGTATTATATAAAAGAAAATTCAATGTTAGTACATTTAATTTTATTTACTTACATGATTTTTAATATTTTAACTTTTTTTTTACAAGAGAGTATTTTTCTATTAAAGTATTTAATTTGAAATAATTGGTAATAAATTCATTCTAGCTTGATTTTTTTAAAGCATTTTCAGCAAGTTTTTGTAATAGATTTATCTTAATGAATAAAAAAGACAAATAATGAAGATGACAAAATGATAGTTGAATATTTAGAATAAAATATGATACCATTTTTATTTTCTTATTATTTTTTATAAAATAGGAAATAAAAGTAGCCTAAACGTCTAGGAGGTGTAAAGACCAAAGGTGAAACATCCAGGAGGTGTAAAGACCAAAGATGAAATGTCCAGGAGGTGTCTTAAATCTTAAATCTTAATCTTTACTTTTAACGCACCATGACTGTTATTGATGCCGTTTCTGATAGCTCAGTCCGGTGCGTTTGCAAGGGGTTATAGTTATAGGTCGTCTCGGAACCATTTTGATAATTGTGATGAGAATGGTTTATGAACACTTTTAAGTGTCCGATTTGCTTTAAAGCTAATATGTCCGTGACCGAATCGGGACCGAAAAGTATCGAGGCCGACTTGAAAAAAAAAGTATCCAAGGGAAATAACCGTTATCACACTTGCAAAATGAAACTAGTATTTATTTTAGCTGTCATTATTCCATTGAGTGTCATATTCTGGTTATCAACATGTATCTTCCATTATTATAGATCAGGTAATGCGCTGGATATGTGAAAATTAATTGTCACTGTCTAAATTTGTAAATAAATGTAAATGAAATATGTTTTCGCGACAAAAAAATGTGCACACCTACCTTTTCATTATTTTCTCAAAATAATTTTATTTTTTGTCCCCAACTTTGGGGGAGGGGAAGCATTTAGATTTACCCTTGTCCGTCCATCCGTCTGTCCTTCCGTCCGTCCGTTCTCATTTTGTGTCACACGTAGCTCAAAAAGTATTTGACCTGGAGTCCTGAAACTTTACAGCATGTATAGTTGTGCACCTGGGTATTTTCGTGTGGATATATTTAGTATTTTTAGAGTTATTGCCCTTGACTTAGTAAAAATTTGCAATTTTCAATTTGTGTCGCACATAACTCAAGAAGTATTTGACCTAGAGTCATGAAACTTTATAGGAATGTTGTTCAGCATGTGAAGTTGTGCACCTGGGTATTTTAGTGTGGATATATTTAGTATGTTTAGAGTTATTGTCAATGACTTAGTAAAAATTTACAATTTTCAACTCGTGTCGCATGTGACTCAAAAAAGAATTTGACCTAGAGTCATGAAACCTTACAGGAATGTTGCTCAGCATGTGAAGTTGTGCACCTGGGTATTTTTGTGTGGATATATTTAGTATTTTTAGAGTTATTGCCCTTGACTTAGTAAAGATTTACAATTTTCAACTTGTGTTGCATGTGACTCAAAAAGTATTTGACCTGGAGTCATGAAACTTTACAGCATGTGAAGTTGTGCACCTGGGTATTTTTGTGTGGATATATTTAGTATTTTTAGAGTTATTGCCCTTGACTTAGTAAAGATTTACAATTTTCAACTTGTGTTGCATGTAACTCAAAAAGTATTTGATCTAGAGACATCAAACTTTATATAAAATTTAATCAGATTGTGAAGTTGTGCACCTGGGGTATGGTCTTGTAGATTTATTTTGTTTTGTTAAAATTTACATATTTTAGTATTTAAATAGGGTCTTGAAACTTTACAGGAATTTTTATCAGCATGTGTAGTTGTGCACCTAGGTATTTTTGTTTAGATTTATGTAGTATTTGTGGAGTTATTGTACTTGACTTAGTAAAAATTTACAATTTTCAACTTGTGTCACACGTAGCTCAAAAAGTATTTGACATATGGTCGAAACTTTACAGGAATGTTGATCAGCATGTGAAGTTTTGCTTCTGGGGTTTCGCTTGTGAATTGATGTTTTGTCAGAGTTATTGCCATTGACTAAGTGAAAAATTTGTGTTGTGTGTACCTCAGAATGTATTTAACCTATAGAGTCATGAAACTTAACAGGAATGTTGGTCAGCATATGTAGTTGTGCACCTTGGATTCCGCTTGTGGATTCATTCAATATTTGTAGAGTTATTGCCCTTGACTTCTAAAAACTGTTTCATTATGTTGTGTTATTTGTTCCTTGAGTGCTTTACTGAGTTAGAATCAGTCAACTTTGCAGGAATAATGATCAACATCACTGTAAAGCTATGCACCTGGGATTTTGCATGTGGTTTTTTTCAGCTTTGTTAGAGTTATTGCCCTTGACTTAGTGTAAATTTACAGTTTTCAACTTGTTCATGCATAGCTCAAAAAGTATTTGACCTGTAGGCCTGAAAGTTTACAAGAATGTTGGTCAGCATGTGCACTTATGCACCTTGGGGTTTGCTTGTGGATATATTCAGTATTTGTAAAGTTCTTCCCCTTTACTTAGTAAAAGATTTTTAGATTTCAACTTGTGGCACATGTAGCCCAAAAAATATTTGACCAGTGTTGCATCTAGGCCACGCGATTTTGCGATTTGCGCATTTTTTATGCAGATCGCGCATTTTAATGATGTCAATGAGCGCCAAGTCGAGCATCTGACGATCTTTTCAACTTAATTCAGTGTATCTTCGTGGTATCTTGAATGCTTACGCCATGTTTGTTTTGACACCCGTGGTTATGACTAAAATATGTACTAAATCGCGTGTAGCAGCCGACTGGGTCATCTCGCATGTGTTTTGTAGTATTCGTCAATATTTTTTTTTTTCTACTTCCGTTTTTGAGTGAACGATAACTGTCAAAAATGCCTGAATGTAAAATAAATAAATTCTTTTCGGTATGTCATATTGTAAGGTAAATATATGTCCCACACATATTTTTCAAATCCCCCACATTTTTCTTACATAATGTTGGGAGTTCTACTCATGTGCCTGTTTGTGCCTGAAACAATGAATGGAGTGGTTCCTACACTAGTAGTAAAGCTGGGAAGCGGCCATATAGCCTGAACAGTGTTAATGCATTGGTATCTAGTCAATCCAGAGAAATTTGTAATATATATTATAATCATATATATATTGTAGTTTTATATTTTTCAGTACATGTTAAAACAGTTAACAAATTTTATTTTTTTCAGATGTTGAAACTGTGTCCCCAGTAAGGTTTCTCATAGCAGTTGTAGCCCCTGTCCTCATCACAAAATGGGGACAGAAAAGAGGAAGCCTGGACACATCAGGAGCTGTTGCAGGTATTTAACTCTGCCTGTGTATTTAACACTAGCCAGCAAGTCAAGGGTCACGAAGGCTATAAAATTTTCCAACTGCCAGTTTGTGATAAATAAGCATTCAGTCAACTTAGTTTCCTAAATATGACAAAACTAAATTTCAATCTGAACAGCTAATTCATATTTGATTCCAGGAAAAGAATAAAAAATAAAGGTTTAAATCATTTATCTAGATTTTATTTTCCACTTTCATAGTTTAACACTTTTTGGTTTGTTAAAGGCTTATCAAGCTTGTATGTACATGTACAAAATGTATTGCCAACTTCTAACCTGAATGGCTTGTAGTTTTCTGGATCTAAATTCATTGACTGTTGCCAGTATTTTCAATATGATCATAGCTGTCAAACAAATCTTGATTTCTTCTATGTGACATTGTGCTTCTTGGTCATATCAAGTTCTAAGCATATTATTAAAGCAACAATCCATCCATTTGCACTGCCAGAGCTATTAATGAGGTTCTTGTCATATGACTGGTTTTTTTTGCAAAAATGCACAATACAAATAATATTACAAAAAGGATAACCATGAAAAATAATGCCCCAGGAATAATGTCAATGTTGCAGTACCTGTAATTTGTTATTTCAGCGTTACTTGTTGGATTTCTGATGACAATAAGCAACCTGTGTTTCTTCTCATCTCTCCTTGCCTTCTTTGTGTTTGCTTCAAAGGTCACCAAGTTCAGAACAGATCAGAAGAAGAAACAAGAGGATGATTTTAAAGAAGGTAAGGATGACTTTGTCATGGGGTTAAAAAAATATGTTTCGGGTTTCCCAACCTACTTTTATTTTTAATCGCCAACACTAGACCTTGCTTTGCATTTCCACTCTTTCAAAATCTTTATGTCATGGTTCAGAACTGTTCACTATTTACGGGAGATGATGTGTAAAGCGGCTGGTACAGTTGCGGAACGGTAATACGCTGGTCACGGGTTTGAGTCTATGTCAGACTGCACATTTTCCTCACCCTGTGACATTTACAATATTTATATTAGGGCCGGGAATTATATTCGAATATTCGAAACACTACCGAATATTCGAACATTGAAAAACGAATACGAATATTCGAAAAAAAATAGCAATGTTTTATTTTTTGTCATTACTTTCAAATTTCAATGAAGATCGTAAATTAAACCTTTTCCATTTCCTTGACCAGGTGTTCAAATATTTGTATGACGCCTGTCAACAATTATCGCCAATTAACTGTGAAAACTTTGGGGTCTAGTTGCTCAAAAGGGCACTCGTTTCACAGTTTACAATTTACCCGTTTAACAGTTTATAATGCAAATTTTTCCGATTTTAATTATCCTATTTATTGTTTTTAGCTCACCTGTCACAAAGTGACAGGGGTGAGCTTTTGTGATCGCTTTTCGTCCGGCGTCCGTCCGTCCGTAAACTTTTACTTTAAATGACATCTCATAAACCACTAAGCCAATTTCATCCAAACTTCACAGGAATGTTCCTTTGGTGGTCACCTTTAGAAATTGTTCAAAGAATTTAATTCCATGCAGAACTCTGGTTGCCATGGCAACCGAAAGAAAAAACTTTAAATATCTTCTTTTAAAGAACCCATGGAGCTAGAGCTAAGATATTTAGCATGAAACATCATCTAGTAAGTGTCTACCAAGTTTGTTCAAATAAAAGCCCTTGGGTCAAAATTGGCCCCGCCCCGGGGGTCATTGATTTACCCTATATGCATATAGTAAAAACTTAAAAAATCTTCTTTTAAAGAACCCATAGAGCTAGAGCTAAGATATTTAGCATGAAACATCTTCTAATAAGTGTCTACCAAGTTTGTTCAAATAAAAGCCCTTGGGTCAAAATTGGCCCCGCCCCAGGGGGTCATTGATTTTCCCCTTTATGCATATAGTAAAAACTTAAAAAATCTTCTTTTAAAGAACCCATAGAGCTAGAGCTAAGATATTTAGCATGAAACATGTTCTAATGGGTGGTTACAAAGTTTGTTCAAATAAAAGCCCTGGGGTCAAAATTGACCCCGCCCCGGGGGTCATTGATTTTCCCTATATGCATATAGTAAAAACTTAAAAAATCTTCTTTTAAAGAACCAAAAGAGCTAGAGCTAAGATATTTAGCATGAAACATGTTCTAATAAGTGTCTACCAAGTTTGTTCAAATAAAAGCCCAGGGGTCAAAATTGGCCCCGCCCCGGGGGTCATTGATTTTCCCTATATGCATATAGTAAAAACTTAAAAAATCTTCTTTTAAAGAACCCAAAGAGCTAGAGCTAAGATATTTAGCATGAAACATGTTCTAATAAGTGTCTACCAAGTTTGTTCAAATAAAAGCCCAGGGGTCAAAATTGGCCCCGCCCCAGGGGGTCATTGATTTTCCCTATATGCATATAGTAAAAACTTAAAAAATCTTCTTTTAAAGAACCCAAAGAGCTAGAGCTAAGATATTTAGCATGAAACATGTGCTAATGGGTGTCTACAAAGTTTGTTCAAATAAAAGCCCTGGGGTCAAAATTGGCCCGCCCCGGGGTCATTGATTTTCCTTTTATGTGTATAGCAAAAACTTAAAAAATCTTCTTTGAAAAAACCCAAATAGCTAGAGTTTAGATATTAAGCATGAAACATCTTCTAGTGAGTGTCTACAAAGTTTGTTCAAATAAAAGCCCTTGGGTCAAAATTGGCCCGGCCCTGGGGGTCATTGATTTTCCTTATGGCAAAAACTTAAAAATCTTCTTTGAAATAACCCAAATAGCTAGAGTTTAGTTATTAAGCATGAAACATCTTCTAGTAAGTGTCAACAAAGTTTGTTCAAATAACAGCCCTGGGGCTAAAACTGGCCCCGCCCCAGAGGTGTCATTGTTTTTAACTATATGTGTATAGTAAAAACTTAAAAAATCTTCTTTTAAAAAACCCAATGAGCTAGAGGTAAGATTGCAGGAAACATCTTTTTGTTGGTGTCTACCAAGTTTGTTCAAATAAAAGCCCTGGGGTTTAAACTAGCCCCGCTCCGGGGGCCTAAATACAGGTGAGCGACCTCAGGGCCATCATGGCCCTCTTGTCTGTGTTATAATCTTTCTGAATTATCAATAATTGTCTTAAATTTTGTGAATAAGAATAAATCGGCACGCATTAATCGACGCGTTATGAAAGCATGGGAAGTGTCAAAATTCCGTCAGAATATATTTATTCCGTAGACATTAGACTCCGTGTGATATTTACATTGTACTGCGTTATATTTAAGAATATTTTAAACTTTATCTAAAATTATAAATAAAAATATTTTATACAAGTTAAGTTCCAATATAATTATGTGTTTTTAAATTTTGGGGCTAAGAGGCTACGATGATTCATATTACTGTCAGTCAAGTTACCTCCCGTTGATAAGACAGTGGTCGGGTTTACCGAACAAAAGACAATCAAATTATGAATTTATTTCAAAAGTAAACATATATCTCGATTTACAATATATAAAATAAAATAAACTTTGACATAGCACTAAAAGGTCTTTTTAATCGCCAATTATTCCAAGCATTTTAAAGAAGAATAATATTCGACGCAATCAATTTCGGATATGTATACGTCAAAGAGAAATATCGGAACAAATGTTGTAAAAAAAGAATATTCGAATATATTCGAATATTGAAAACGAATATTCGAACATCCAATTCCTTATTCGTTCCCAGCCCTAATTTATATACATTGTATATATGAAATTGGTTAAAAAATTAAATCATATACATGTATATTAAAAAGCTTAAAGACAATAATTTAAATGGTTTTGTAGCTAGATAGTAAGATATTTTTCTAATGAAAAATTCTCTTTAGGAATATAATCAATATTCTACCATGTTTGGTTATGTATGACGAGACATGTTGGTGGGATGGATTTTGCTTGATTAATGAATACAAGGTCAATGTAAACACATTTATTCACTCTGACCAGGACCTATATTGATGGTAGCTCGTTTTCATCATTTTGATATGAAAATTCTACAATATCACTATGGACAGTTTTAAATTCAAGGCTTAAAAAATAACATTACACACAATAAGAAGTGTTGAACTCTTTGTTAATGACAGGTATATTATTCCAATTTTAGGTGGAATGAGAAACTGGGTACAGGTCCTGTGTAACGGAGGTATCGCAGCAGAAATGGCCTTGATATACCTGGTCGATGTTGGCTGCTCAGAGAAGTTGATCGACTTCAGCACACATTACACCGCTAGTTGGTTCAGTATGGCCGTACTTGGTGCCCTCTGTTGTAGCTGTGGTGACACTTTCTCCTCCGAGATTGGCTCTGTAATTGGTAAATCAAGGGAGGCAATTCTAATAACAAATTTCAAATATGTACCCAAAGGTAGTCTTTCTTTGGAACACATTTCCAGTTTTTCCTTATTAAACTTCAGTTTTTCTAATATAGCCGATCTAATGATGAAATTGTTTTGGAAAAGTAAGGTTAAATTTAGAATTAAAGCTTGTTTATTTAATACTGCTTAATTAAGTCAGTGCTTGGGCATGAGACATGTTACATTTCCCATTAGCTTCCATGAACAGGCACATAATAAAATTATGCAAATGCAACTTCCTTCAGTTATTTTTGTTTTTACTGATTGAGAAACTTCCTCTTCCCCAAAAAGTCTATGTCACTAAATTTGTTATTTATTTTCCATGAAATATGTAAATTTGATGTAAATGATCGTCTTAGCTAACAAGAGATTTAGACTCAATTTGAGATTTTAAAATCTTCTAAAACTGTTTAAGGATGAGCCAGCTTACCTAACATCTGTGGTTCTACTCAGGTGCTCATTCTTGCCTGAAATAATGCACAGAGGGGCACCTGAGGTATTTCTCCACCATTAAAGCTGGAACGTTGCCATATGACCTCTTCTGTGTTGTTGTGACATAGAACCCAACCAAAAGAAAAAGAAAAGCAAGCTCAAAAGCAGGTCAATATAAGATTTTTAAAACCTCTGAGCCAGGACTTTGAAAACTCACTAAATTCACTAAAGTCATAACAAGTTTATCTTATTAATTTATTTTGCTTCCATTTTGTTGTCATAAGTTAGCATAGTTCTGGCATAAGTAAGTATAGTGTTGGCATAATTTTGCATACTCTTTCAGGTACAAATGGTGCTATATCTTTGACTGGTACACTGGCAAGTATGGTTGGTGGAATGTTGGTGGGGCTTGCGTTTTATATCACACTGTTATTGCTGGTCAATGATGTATATTTATTAGAGTCACCAGCCCAGTGGCCTGTAGTGCCGATCTGCGCGCTACTTGGATTACTAGGATCAACTATTGACTCATTCCTTGGAGCAACACTCCAGTACTCAGGTTTGATTTGCATGCAAATCATCATATGTTTTTGTTATTGTAATGTTTTGTTTAATGGTTTGACTATTAGATAAATAGGGAGAGCTTTTGTACTTGTCCAGACTTCGGCATTACATCACAGTTTGGTAAATTTTTTGCATGCAAGATGGTATCTCCAAAATTTTTGTAGAGAATGGGTTGAAACTTCACACACATATTTGAGAGCATATTAGGGGTTCACTTTCCAAGGCCCATAACTCTTAACATGGATTTTGACAGAGTTATGGCCCTTTTTGAACTTCGAAAATTATAAATTTTCCAGACTTCTTCTACTTAGAGTGCTGCTTCAAGACTCGTCTATGAACATGTGACCCTAGTTCCCCACCTCTCTGAATTTGAAATCTTGGGCTGATACTGCCTGTGTACTTATTAACAGATTTTGCATGGGAGCATTTTATTTTTATCTGATTAATGTTTCACAATAAACATTTTACGTATCAATTGTTGGTCAATCAACATTATAACAGTCAGTCTTTTGAAATATGTATATAGTCAATTAAAAAATTAATATAATTTAACTGTAAGAAAGTATGTAGTTGCCATATTTTTAGCCAAGCCATTATGGACATTGTATTTTGACTTTATGTTACAGGGTATGACAAGAAAAAGCAGTGTGTTGTACACCATCGTGGACCAGGGATAGATGATATATGTGGTACAGATTTCCTCGACAACCACAGTGTGAATCTTCTATCCTCTCTACTTACCTCCCTCCTGGCACCGAAACTAGCACTCAGTCTATGGCATCGCTTCTTAGAAATAGACCGCTTTCAGTTCTTAGAAAAGTCACCTGTATGATTATTTTAGAAATTTACGACAAATACCTTAGAGCAGTAACAGGTTAAGTCCTTTCAAATTTAATAGGAGTTAACCAGTTATAGCACTGAGGCAACAATATACAAACTTTGCTCAAACAGCTGGAAAGTGGAAAGTTTTCTTTTAAATTGCAAAAATGATATTTTTGACATCTTGAAAAGACATATGTAATCTATGCTATATCTAAACGAAATGGCGTCTCTATGTCCACTATAAATATTTGAAAGAAAGCTTTAGAATTTGACTGTGAATTCTAAAAGAAAATTTCCATGAATTAAATATGGATTTCTCCAGGACAGTTTTTTTTATGCCCCCGCCATGTAATGGCCGGGGCATATAGTGTTACCCTGTTCCGTCATTCCGTCCTTCCGTCCTTCCGTCATTCTGTCATTCTGTCATCATCAGTTTCCGTTCATTATCTTAAGAACGGTTGCACACATTCAACTCAAATTTGACATATGGATATGTCATGAGAAAATACAGGTCAAGTTCGAATTTGGTCTTGGTTTGATGATTTTTGGCAGAGTTATGCCCCTTTTACTTTGAAAATAATATGAAATTTCAGTTTCCGTTCATTATCTCCCCAACGGTACAACACATTCAACTCAAACTTGACATATGGATATGTCATTAGAAAATACAGGTCAAGTTCGAATTTAGTCATGGTTCGATGAATTTTGGCAGAGTTATGCCCCTTTTACTTTGAAAATAATATGAAATTTTCAGTTTCCGTTCATTATCTCCCCAACGGTACAACACATTCAACTCAAACTTGACATATGGATATGTCATGAGAAAATACAGGTCAAGTTCGAATTTGGTTATGGTTCGATGACTTTTGGCAGAGTTATGCCCCTTTTACTTTGAAAATAATATGACATTTTCAGTTTCCGTTCATTATCTCCCCAAAGGTACAACACATTCAACTCAAACTTGACATATGGATATGTCAGGAAAAAAATACAGGTCAAGTTTGAATTTGGTTATGGTTTGATGATTTTTGGCAGAGTTATGCCCCTTTTACTTTGAAAACAATATGAAATTTTCAGTTTCCGTTCATTATCTCCCCAATGGTACAACACATTCAACTCAAATTTGACATATGGATATGTTTTTGGAATGCCCAGGCCAAGTTCGAATTTGGTCATGGTTCAATGATTTTTGGCAGAGTAATGCCCCTTTCACTTTGAAAATAATATGAAATTTACAGTTTCTGTTTATTATCTACCCAACAGTGATACATATTCAACTTAAATTTGACATATGGATATGTCAAAGGAATGGGCAGGTCAAGTTGGAATTTGGTCATGGTTTGATGATTTTTTGGCAGAGTTATGTCCCTTTCACTTTGAAAATAATATAGATACATCTTAGGAATAAGCAGTTAATGTTTGAATTTGGTCGTGGTTCAATGATTTAAGACAAACTTATCTTTCCTGAATGTTGGAAAAATTTTGAACTTTCAGTTTCAGCACTCATACTTTTAGCCATTATTTTGGCTACAAATATGCAATATGCTTTTTTTAAAAGGTTAAGACTGAATAATTTCAGTGCCTTGAACATTGTATGAAAATGGTTTGTGTTAACATTGAAGGGCTTTGAACATTTAAGGGCTTTGAACTTAAACTGAAAAAAATAATTAATGCACCATCTGAAATTTTGGCTGCATGCGGGGGCATCCGTGGCATGATGACACATTTCTAGTTTTTTTTTCAAAAATAAATCTAAAAGGGACTCCACTGAGTTTTGTTGGCATGATGGGACAGAAAGTGATTTCTTAAAAAAGTAACTCAAACTTTTTATTAAAATTTTCTTAAAACATCATTTAAAAGTCATCTGAATGCTTTGTGTTATTTTTCATTAGTAAACTAACAAAATAGCTTTATTATACCTCTTCCATATCAGGGTACAAAGCTTTTTACTTATGTTGGTAACGAAATAGTCTAGTTTGTGACTTTTGTAAGGCAGCATTATTTTTTTCCCCGTTTTTGTATTTTTGCAATTAAGATGGTAACAAAAACATCTAGTCTGTGGTCTTTGACAGCATTAATTTTTTCCCCTAGTTTTAATGTAGCTTTGCAACTAAGATGATTTAAGGTTTACATAGCAGCATATTTATATTATAAATTTACAGTGTTATGTGTTCTATAAGTGTTTAAGACGTTGTTTGTTAGAAGCCAAGCCCGGCTTTCACTAACGTTCTCAAACTGAGATAAATCTCAACTTTAGATTGTCTCAATATAGACTGAGATTCTTACTCACCTGAGAAAAATCTCAAGTCTTAAGTTGAGATTTTTCTCAGATTTTGTTAGTGAAAGCCAAACTGAGAAAAATCTCAATCTCAGTCTCTGAGTTGAGAAAAATCTCAGATTTGAGCTGAGATTTTGACTTTGAGAAAGTAAGTGAAAGCCGGGGCTGATCCTCTTCATGATTTATTGTTTCAAGACGGAATCAAAGGTGTTATAGACATGAGCCTTAAACTTTTCACCCAATTTCTTTTTTTCAACTATTCCTTTTACCTTATTCAAAATTCTAAATTTTTGAAACTTATTCATAGAATCAACCAATGCATCATAAATTTGTACACAAAACTTGCCCTGCTTTGAGTATCAATTAGAGTATTTTATTTTATTTCCTAAAGAGTTGGTTTTTTTATTCAAAAGCTCAAATTTAGCAGTCAACAGACTCTTTTCTCAGAATACTAGGGCGTTAAGGGGGCTTGACCTTATAATAGTGGCCTCAGAAAGTTTGACTGCATACTTCATAATCACTATTACACATGTTGACTTCATCTTTATTTTCATCTTCCAATTTTTCATCATTTTGACATATGTGTTCAGTTTATATTTGATTCAAAAGTGTTGAGTTTTTCTGAAATATTTTAGATGTATTTAAGATATATTAAGGATACGACAAGGGTTTTATCCATTTTGTGGCATTTATAATGTTTTGTGTTTAATGTGAATGGTAGCCATACATGTAATCTACAAGTACTCTACAAGTACATGAATTTATTTACCTTGTCATTATAAGAATATACAAGTGTATTTGAGCCGCGTCACGACAAAACCAATGTTATGTGTTTGCGACCAGCATGGATCAAAACCAGCCTGCTCATCCGCACAGTCTGATCAGGATCCATGCTATTGCTATCAGTTTCTCTACTTAAAATAGGGTTTGTAAGCGAACAGCATGGAACCTGATCAGACTTCGCGGATGCGCAGCCTGGTCTGGATCCATGCTGGTCGCAAAAGCATTATTTTGGTTTCGTCGTGATGCGGCTCAATTTTAAATGTTGAGGGCATTCTAGTGTATAGTGTACAATATATTTTTTTTTGCAAATGTCCATCTTGAAAGCACTTTCTTTATATTTTTTCAACAGTCTTTAATTAGTGTTAAAAAGTTTGAACTATTTAAGGAATAGACATACAACAGTTTATTGTTCTTTCAGTTTTAGATGTACTGTGCCTTTTATTCATTTCTAAAGAACTACATGTGTTATTTTGTAATAATTTATTTACACAAGACTAGTGTCGTCACATTTTGTCAAATTATGTTCTGAAAAAGTGGATGACATTATTATATTATATATAATATGAATTGTCTTAATAGGAATTATTTTTGTTAGAGGTCATGACCTTAAACAAGATGATGCAGTTGATTTTATCTTAACCTGTATAATGGTATTTAATTCAAGTGGTGGCAGCCCGAGTGGTTAACACTTAAGGTAGTCTTACTGTAACATTTTCCTACCAAATTTCAGCAAATATTGTAGCAAATCCATTATTTCCGAAATATGATGTTTTCAAAATCCTGAGCATTAGATTATTTACAATCACTCGTCCTTTATCGCAATGTACTCAATTCTGGTTATAAACAGTTGCACATTATTGAATACCGAAGATTGTGAAAATATCGTTCCGCAGAAGACTGATTTATAACGACTTTGGCCGATATTAAAAATTTTTTGGCGGGAAAGCATTTCAATAGCACTACCTTAAGACTGGTTACCTAAAGGATTGCTGGCCTCATGGATTTAAACCCCATCAGTGATAAGCTGTTGTTTCCTTAAACAAGAATTTTTTTTCTCATTGCATAATATTCAGATTGATTACTGATTAGTACTGACAGTGTATATGTAAGCTTATAACAACCTGCACACTCGAATTGTTATAAATTCTGTATAAACTGACTGTATTCAATGGACTATACAGTCAAACCAGTGTTTAAGACCACCTCTAAGTAAAGATAATCTAATGAATATAGATTATTTTTCATCAAACGTACATTGAACAGAGTAACCCCCAAATCAAGACCACTGTCAATGTTAAGTCTCTTCTTTATGGCCTTGGTTAACATGTTTGACTGTCTACATATTCTGGAAAACCCATTGCGATTTTACAACTGTATGATGAAAGTTGATTTACTGTGGATTTTACAGGTGTTTTAAATGATTTTGTTTTGGGGTCACTATTGTTTGTTATTTATATTGATTAAATATATTTATTTATTATTTCTTATGATTATTGGTAGTACAACAAGAGGTAATTTGTTGGTATTTGTTGTAGTATAAATTATTATATAATATAAATAACAATGATGTACATGTAATTTTTTTATAAAACATAATTTAATGTAATATATCCATCTTTGAATCAAGTGAGTATTTTGTTTAACTCATGATGTTGTCAGGTCAGCATATCCATTTAGTTTCTGTGTTTTTACTTGGTTACCGTGAGGCTAACATTTTGATATAATAATTGAACACAACTCTTACTCATAACATCATTTTACAAATGATGATAAAAGACATTAAGATTGTTGAGGATATTAAAAATAGAAAAGCGAATTACCCTTGAAATGTTAAAAATAGCTATAAATAGGTGATGATAAACAAATTTCAGAAGTTTTATATTTATTTCCAGAGCTAAAAAATTGAATATCTTAAAGAATTCAAAGTTTCTATTTAAAAAATAGTGAATAGTGTTATGTGTTGTTTTCCAATCACGGCATTCAATTATTATTATTATAGTAATGTTGTTTTTTGGAAATTAATTGTCTCTTTAGTTTGTAATGGAAAATGAATCGAAAAATTAAGCATTTTTTCTCAAGACCGGCTTTCACTGACGTTCCCAAACTATGACCATTCTCAACCTAAGATTGTCTCAATATTGACTGAGATTCTTACTCACCTGAGTAAAATCTCAAGTTGGCTTTCACTAAACTTTTTCTCAACCCTTGAGATTTTTCTGAACTGAGACTTTCATTATCTCAATGCATGAGTGAAAGCCAAACTGAGTTGAGAAAAATTTCAGATTTGAGCTGAGATTTTGACTTTGAGAACTTTGGTGAAAGCCGGGCAAGATCTGTTGTTCCAAAAGTGACTGCCAACTTTTTTCCAGACAGTGGTGATGTGAAGGTTTCATGGCATTAGGCTGATGAAGTGTTGTCAGCCTATCTGTGGTGTTATCCTTTACCACCTTAATTACCTTAAATTGACTTGTCCATCTTTCAGTCTGGACAAAACCATTCATCATTTTTGGGGGAAATTTTAAAAACTTTGTACTGACTGAATAGTGTACAGTTCAGACCATGGAGACAAGCAATCATGTGGGAAATTTCTTTGTTTTATAAACTGCTTTAGTTATTGTTGATTTTATACATTTGTTAATAAGAAAAGTAAAAAATAAAAATAATTTATATACTGTACTATTATTTTCATTTACAATTATCCTCCATTATTGACTATTTTAGTTTGTCAATAAATGCTTTTTATGACGCATAGGCTCATATTGTAAAACTGAAATTTTACATTCTTGTGAAACTGAAGGTTAAGAAATTATATTTTACATTCTTATGCAACTTATAGTTTACATTGAAGGGAGGTAACCAAATGACTTTCACATAAGTTGAGCATATAAGAGTTATCTCTGATCATAATTATTGTTGGTTTTGACCAAATGAGGAATTGCAATGAAACATTGACTAAACCAAATTTTGTAACTCCAGAATTATAATTCCATATTACAGTTACAGCCCTTTAATTTAATATAACACTTATCAGGAGCATGCTTATTTGAGTGAAAGCTTTCTACTATAATTTCATTGCATTATGAAACAGTCCTTTATGTATATTGGCAGCATGAATCAAGGGTAGTAAATGTCAAAATAATATTCTGGACATGATGTTGCACCATGAATGTATGAATACTTGCAACATACTGTATAATTAGTCTTGCAAGTCAAGCAAATAAATTTTAATGAGCTTCTATTGGGATTTCTGTAGCCATAAATTTGTGATAATCAAATGAAGCATTGTAATCCAGTACTTGTGGCTATTCAAAACCTTTGCTTAATGTAACATATATTTTGCTGGCATGCATGATTGAATACTAGTAATTGAAATTCTTGACAAGGTGTTGTACTGTATGATCTCTTGTGAGTCCAGCAGATTTGTACGTCTTCTTGCAAGTTTCTATCATGATGTAAAAAACAATAATTAAGAAACCAAATCAATATTTTTTGTAAGGAAGACCTCAATCAGACTGCAATATTTACACAAATCAGTCGGACATCAATGTCTTCAGCAACCAGCCAGACTGCAATATCTAGTGTACCCAGTCACACTGAAATATCTAAAGTACCTGGACATACTGCAATATTTACAGTACCCAGACATACTGCAATATCTACAATACACATACTGCAATATCTACAGTACCCAGACATACTGCAATATCTACAGTACCCAGACATACTGCAATATCTACAGTACCCAGACATACTGCAATATCTACAGTACCCAGACATACTGCAATATCTACAATACACAGACTGCAATATCTACAGTACCCAGTCATACTGCAATATCTACAGTACCCAGACATACTGCAATATCTACAATACACAGACTGCAATATCTACAGTACCCAGTCATACTGCAATATCTACAGTACCCAGACATACTGCAATATCTACAGTACCCAGACATACTGCAATATCTTCATTACCCACACAGCCTGCAATATCTACAGTACCCAGACATACTGCAATATCTGCAGTACACAGACATACTACAATATCTACAATACCCAGTCACACTGCAATATCTACAGTACCCAGCCACACTGCAATATCTACAATACACAGACTGCAATATCTATAGTACCTAGATAGTATGCAATATCTACAGTACCCAGATAGTATGCAATATCTACAGTACACAGACATACTACAATATCTACAGCACCCATACAGACTGCAATATTTATAGTACCCAGTCATACTGCAATTTTTATAGTTCCAAGAAAGACTGCAATATCTACAGTACTCAGTCAGATTGCAATATATACAGTACCCAGGCAGTCTCCAATATATACAGTACCCAGACAAACTGCAATATCTACAGTACCCAGGCAGACTGCAATATTTGCAGTACCCAGACAGACTGCAATATCTACAGTACTAAGTCAGATTGCAATATCTACATTACCCAGACAGACTGCAATATCTACAGTACCCAGTCAGGCTGCAATATCTACAGCACCCAGACAGTCTGCAATATCTACAGTACCCAGAGAGACTGGCAATATCTACAGTACCCAGACAGTCTGCAATATCTACAGTACCCAGTCAGACTGCAATATCTACAGCACCCAGACAGTCTGCAATATCTACAGTACCCAGACAGTCTGCAATACCTACAGTACCCAGACAGACTGCAATATCTACAGCACCCAGACAGTCTGCAATACAGTACACAGTCAGACTGCAATATCTACAGCACCCAGAGAGTCTGCAATATCTACAGCACCCAGACAGTCTGCAATATCTACAGTACCCAGACAGACTGCAATATCTACAGCACCCAGACATACTGCAATATCTACAGTACCCAGACAGACTGCAATATCTACAGCACCCAGACAGACTGCAATATCTACAGCACCCAGACAGTCTGCAATATCTACAGTACACAGTCAGACTGCAATATCTACAGCACCCCATACAGGCTGCAATATCTACAGTACCCAGACAGACTGCAAATATCTACAGTACCCAGACAGACTGCAATATCTACATTACCCAGTTAGGCTGCAATATCTACAGTACACTGTCAGGCTGCAATATCTACATTACCCAGTTAGGCTGCAATATCTACAGTACACTGTCAGGCTGCAATATCTACAGTACCCAGACATACTGCAATATCTACAGTACTTAGTCAGATTGCAATATCTACAGTACCCAGACAGACTGCAATATCTACAGCACCCAGACAGACTGCAATATCTACAGTACCCAGACAAACTGCAATATCTACAGTACCCAGACAGTCTGCAATATCTACAGTACCCAGACAGTCTGCAATATCTACAGTACCCAGACAGTCTGCAATATCTACAGTACCCAGGCAGTCTGCAATATCTACAGTACCCAGACAGTCTGCAATATCTACAGTACCCAGACAGTCTGCAAATATCTACAGCACCCAGACAGTCTGCAATATCTACAGTACCCAGACAGTCTGCAATATCTACAGTACCCAGACAGACTGCAATATCTACAGCACCCAGACAAACTGCAATATCTACAGTACCCAGACATACTGCAATATCTACAGTACCCAGACAGTCTGCAATATCTACAGTACCCAGTCAGGCTGCAATATTTGCAGTACCCAGACAGACTGCAATATCTACAGTACTAAGTCAGGCTGCAATATCTACATTACCCAGTCATGCTGCAATATCTACAGTACCCAGACAGACTGCAATATCTACAGTACCCAGTCAGGCTGCAATATTTGCAGTACCCAGACAGACTGCAATATCTACAGTACTAAGTCAGATTGCAATATCTACATTACCCAGTCAGGCTGCAATATCTACAAAGTGCAGACATACTGCAATAATGTCTACACAATATGGTCAGATTGTCATATCTTATGAAGATTTAAATTTCTTAGAAAAAAGAAGGAAACACAACACAATAATTAGCAAAATCAGAATTTTATTGCACTAAAGTCTACCTGAAAATTAAAAATCTCATTACGGTTTAATCAATTCCTAGAATTAAAGTTTATAAACTAAACTAAAAAAGAAATGTTTTCTGACAAATTGATTGAAAATTTCACACAAAACAAAAAAGATTTTTTTAAAATAAAGACAAAGATTTTGTGGCAAAGAGATATGTTATCTACAGATCACAACACATAAACATGATATTGTACAGAAAATAAACAAAATTAGCAGAAAACATACATAATAAATATACAAAACATTTGAAACTTGCCGCATTGACATACAAGGCAGTTGAATATTTATAAAAATAGCAGTGATGTACCAAAGTCAAGTTCATAGTCAGATTTCTTTAAAAGTTGTGCATTTTTATCTACTATTAACTAAATGGTGGTGTCTTTTGCTGTTGTTTTTTTCCCCATTTTTTTCAGATTGTCATGTTGACTGTTAATTTATGTAACAATTTACATATTAACCAATGTAAACATATGCACATATATATATTATAATGACAATAATGGACTCTTATTTTTCAATACTTAATAATACATAAAGCAACAACAAAACCTATATTCAATCTAATTAAAAATGTGCTAACAAGGTTTGTACAGCCTAAATATTTCAATGATGGCCTTTAAAAGATCTAACATAAAATCCATCCCTTAGAAGACAAAAAGACCCTGTTGTGGGCCATAAATTATTTACTTACACCATAAATTATTTACTTACATTGTAAGACTGATTTTTCCATCTATAATAAAACATATCAAGGGTTGATTGCAAAACTGTTGCAAGCCCTTATTTATTTTATACAACTTACAGCAGTTTTGTGGTCAACCCTGGATATAAAGATTTCATTCTATGAACTTTAAGTTGGTACTTAAACTACTAAATTAAATACATCTAAACAAATAGTAAATTAACACTTTCACTATCAAATATTGGCATGATTATTTAAATATACATGTATAACCTATGGGAAGAATTAAACCCATTGTTCCTATATACTTATCTAATATAGTACAACAAGGGGATGTGATCGCCACTGTCCACAAATGCAACAAAAATGAAAAATACGTAAAAATTACTTAAAATATAAACAAAAATATCATTCTGCCAAATGTTACTAAGTAATAATCACTTAAAATATAAACAAAAATATCATTTGGCCAAATGTTGTCTGTTTATTTTGTTTAATTATGTTAAACCTCACATAAAATTCATTTTGCCAGCTTCTGAGTTGAAGATCTCAGGTGTCACTCTTTGCATTATTTTGGGAGAAGCCTGAACCCAAGTAGAACCATTTGCCTTCTGTAGGCAAGCTGGATAGCTAATTCGTCTCATAAAATCATATAACTTCTAAATTCATAGGAATAAATCATAATGGCTGCGCATAACTCAACAAAGAAGCAATATAGATTTTGTATCCAACTATCATGACAGCTGGTGTAACATCACACAAACATTTGTCAATTTCATTTACAGAGAACATGTGCAAATACAATTGGACTTTTTTATGTGGAAAGTAATTAAATCGGGCTTTTATGTGGTGATAATTAAGCCATGTTTTTTTTTAACATAGTAGTAATAAAATAGGGGCTTTTGTGTGGTAGCAATTAGTCGGTTTTCTTTTAAGTAGTAGTAATTAAATAAGAATTTTTTATGTAGTAGTATTTAAATCAGGTATTT